TCTGAAGCAATGTTAGCTCCAGAGTGTATCATCCACCTCGATGTCAGAGCTTAAGTATACATTTGCAAAGGTACGTTATGACACTTTCGGCTAATTTTTCACATAATACGTTATATAATTGATCTGAATTTATGTTCAGCTTTACCTGAAACATATAATACCTTGAAGAATATGACTCTTCTAATTATGTGATTGGTGTTTGATACCAAATTCTGTTTGTGTATTCTGCTCGCAAAAATTGAACTCAGCTATGTTGCAAACTTCAATACTTTAAATTTGTATATTTATTGCCCTTCAAAATGTCTTACTTAAGAGTCATTCAATTAGTAAAACATATTCATATTATATGTTAAGGGCTTCTCAATGAAAGTTTGATTTTGTTATATTTAATGAACTTTTTTCCGTTTTTGAATTTACCTTGGAGATTGGTATATTTGTTAATACTTCTTTTTTTACCTATTATGATGATTGATCAAAACGAAAATTGTGTTTATGGAACAAATGGTACCTGCTTTTTACGGGACGGGTTGAAAGACATTAAGCAGGAAGATCAATCAAAGATGAAATAATTTTATAATTATACTTATAATCAATGTAAAATGCTTTATTTAAATTTTCAAAAAAAAAAAAACAACATTCAAATATCTATTGTCACCTCTATAATACAAAGGGGGTTTGGGTTTTATAATAATTTTGTTTAATTTTAAATTCAAACATATTTAAATAAATACCATTTCTAATACGTATATCGAGAAAAATCCACAATTTAATATTAACACCTGTTATAGCAGATTTTTTTTATAGAAGTTAACTACGCTGCACCTGTGCATAAAGGAATGACACAGGTCCAAATTATATTAATAATTTACACGATATATTAGGCAATGACAACTAACATACTTGTATAATTAGTTTGTTAAAAAATATCACTAAAAAAAAAAGCACACACTTTCAGATGACCACTTGCAACAACAATATACTCGTTATTCAAATAATGTATTTTGAAATCGGGCAAACTATTCGAGCGTTCTGCTTACATGTAACATGATTGTTAAATACATAGCCAATTTTACTTTATCGAGTAACTTAAAAAGCTATTCAGTGTCTATAAAAGCTGTACCAACTCTTCAAATGTGGAAAACAGAAATGAGACCAATAAAGAACTTTGAGACCCTCTTTTCATTGATGACGTCCATACAGGTTCTAACAATACCAAGGTTATACATTATGATTAATTGATTATCCAGGGATTCCAGTGAGGCTAAATGGAGGGAAAATGATAAGTGAGGGTAGACTGGAGCTCCAGATTGGAGGGAAATGGACACCGATCTGTAGCAAAAATTTTACTACGACAGAAGCCACTGTTGCGTGTCGATCTCTTGGTTATACCTTTACGTAAGTATATTCATACGTAATGATAAATTTTCCAGAAATATTTGAATAAAAAAATTATGTGTTAGAGAAAAAAAAATTCACAATCAATTTCTGTCTTTGTACCCTCGGTCAATGCAAATGTGCAGTTTCAAATGACGAAATTATATTTTCTCCCTCTGTAACTTAAAAATAGGCAGTTTATATAAAGACAAACATATTTCTCTGTGCATGTCAAACTTCGAATAATAAACCATAGATGTATGGAACACTCAACAAGTATTTCTTCTATCAGCATGGCACACTTAATGGTGTGCTATATTTTTCAAAAGATATTCAACATCACCCTAGGTGTGTGTGTGTTATTGTATATTTAAACGTGCATTATGTCGTAATTTCGAAATGGAACGTACGTGCTCAGTCGCAACTCTTTAATGATGATGTATTCTAGAAATAACTTCGTCCGTATGATATTATTGTTTATGCTGTTGGAGTATGAACTTTGTAGAAATTGATTGTAATCAATTGAAATTTCGAACATACGTTAACTGTTTCCCAAAATATTTGCAGCAAAAATTACGTGTATTTAAAAATATTTCGAATCCGCTTTCAGTAGCTTCCGACAAACTGACTGAACTGCTAACACTCTAATTTGATTTACATTGTCCTCCTTTAGCTGGGAAACACAACTGAATCATAATAAACATTTTCCAGTTTGTACTTGCAGCTTATCAGTACTAGTTGTATACTTGCTATCGATTTAATTTTGAAGAAAGGAACAATACGTAGCAAGAATGACATCAATAATGCGTTCTTTTTACAAACCGATCGTCATTTAGACATTCTGTTAACCTTTGGAAAGCAACACCAGGCTCCGCTTTATTGGAAGCATCAGGTGCAAGTTCCTTGTTAACGGTTCAACAAGTAATAAGCAATTCATACGAATAATACAGTGTATTTTCCTGTGTTGAATTTGTCATTGACAAGGCAATAAACACTATCTTGCACGTCTATGGCATCAACAATAATATGTTCACCTTTTCTGTAGTTTTAGACAACTTTAAAAAAAAAAAAATTATGCAAGTATGTTGCTTTATATCATATTTGTTTTTTTGTTATTGGTTTTTACATGCATCAGGCCGTTAGTTTACTTGTTTGGATTTTTTTACATTTGTCACGTAAGGCCTGCTTTGCAGTTTGAGTTTAGCTCATTGTTGAAGGCCACATGGTGACCTATATTTGCTTATATCTACACCATTTGGTCTCTTGTGGATATTTGTCTCATTGACTACCATACCACATAATCTTGTTTAAATATTTTTCTGATTTTTATATTTAAATTGGATTTTGTAACGATCGGTCCGTAACAATCGTCTTCTATGTCAGTTGGTCTCCTGTGGAAATGTGTCTCATTGGAAATAATGCAACACCTTTTGATTTTGTTTAAATGAAATAAAAGCTATAATATTATGCATCAGAAGTGTTTAAATCGATTTTATTCATCACAGTCATTAGAATGCTTAAAGAAAAAAAAAGTAATAGCAAGTTATATTCTTATTTACAAAACTCAAGGCATAAAACAGTTCAATTCATTGTAATCAAAACAGCAATGCATATGTTTGGGGAAAGAGGGGAGACAGGAAAACAATTTGAATTAATGATTAGAGTAAAAACAAACCAGTTAAACTGTGATATGATAATTATTTCCAAAGAGTTTGTTAAAGTTTCGCTTGTGTGTTCTTTAAAACCTTCACAGATAAACGCCTGTAGATCATAAATTGTTCTGCTATTTGTTTTGGATGCAATATGAAATAATTAAATATACTTTGACTGACTCTAATATTAAAAAAGCCATACATGTCATATGCATTCGGAAAACGCCAAATAATTCAAAATATACTTTCATATTCTTGTATGTGTTAGATAAGGAAAAAGAACAAAATTGGAATAATATATCGCAATTTTACCCCACAAAAATGCACAATAGAAAAACTGTACGAAATAACCAAAATGATAGTACAATATTATATGTATCTTTATGTGGATTTTCAGCCGTGAGGTAAGTCGGTCCATTTAAGTCTGAAAAGAATCGATTTTTTTCTTGATGTGGGACTGCATTTGGAAGAAATAAATTGTTTTCGTCTTTTCCATGTTATCATTGCGTTGTTTATTTAAATATATTTTGCATTTCACTTTCATTCAATATTTTCAAGAGTTTTATGGACAAGGGTATGCATTTGCCCTAGGTTGTACATACTTTCATCTTTTTGAAATAAATTGTCCACTAATTTTCTGTCTTGCTTATAGGTACTAGTATTTGTTAACGTATCAAATATAAGTTACTGATCGAGTTATGTCCTGGAGTTCCACAAATTATGATTCCACGATTTTTGACTCGTTTCCGGTAAAAAAATATGATAATCGCATCTAGAAAATGATGCTATATTGCATAGAGATAGAAATTTTCCTAGCAACAGGACACCTACGGACCCCTCAAAGAGGTGTTCCAAGTGTTCTTAACATGCAGAGAGCGTGGCACTATCCCTACGCGAATCATCGGATTTGTCGTCCCCATTCTGACCGGACGTGGCAGCGTATTTTACATCACGCACAGCCAAACGGACGCCCTACTTTGGCAAGGGTTTTATTGCCGGTCGGAAGAAGATCTATAGTGGCCACATTTCTATTTCCAGCCAGCCTTGTGGTTTATTTTTTTTTGTTTGTTATTTCTTGATATTTCGTTATCCGTAAAAGTTAGCCTCATTTTGTGCATCCTTTTAAAATAAATGTTTTGCTACCAGAAAAGTTAAAGGCGTTGCCTGTTAGTGTAGTCTACGACCAACCTCAATTCTTCTGGTTACAAACTTGCACCTGATATAACCTATTAAATATTGTTGAACGAAACATGTTTGCCCTAATAGTCTTACTCGTTTCTTTTTCTATAAAGAACGCTCGAAAGAATGTTTGAAGAGCCGTTGAATGAATTTACACTATATGCTTGTACAACCAACCGATAGTGTTGCATATGTAGTACCGATAGCCAGTATTAGAGTGTGTGTGAAGACCGTCCGCGTCCTTGGTATATCATACCACATCTTCTAATTGTTATAAAAACAATCCAAGAAAGCCCTTCTGAATCTGAGTGTGCACATTCTAAAGTTATGTTTTATTTTATCATACACGAGTAGCTTCAACCATCATAAAAGTTGTTAAATTTCTCTGACATTTGCAAACGATATAGAAGACACAGTGCTGTATATTTTTACCAAAACTACTATAATATTTGTGTTGATACCAAATATGAACTTTTCAACGTCTTTTCTACCTTCATCCCAAACATAATCTATAATAAACGAAGTATTGAAATTTTTCACAAGACTGAATTGAATAATATTAATTGTAATGTTTTTCAGTACAACTTTTTTTTATGCCGTACAGTCATATCCACTTTCCGGCATGTCCAAATGTTGTCATTTCCAGCTTCACAAAAATCATACTCTGGTCACAGTTATGCCTAGGCTTTTTTAACACAGCACAAGCATTTATTGTAATAAGAAGTATACTTCGCCTTAAATAATAAAAAGAATTATTTAAAAAAAAAGATAATTATATATTTTTTAAAGGGCACCTGAAGTGTACAGCTCAGATGAATATGGAATCAAGAGAAATAATCACACAATTAATACAAATTTAAGATGTTCAGGATCTGAGGAATACATTAGCGAATGTCAATTTGGAGTTGAAGGATATTCAAACTGTTCTAATGAGGAGGAGGTTGTAATTTCCTGCTGTAAGTAATTTTATGAGTTCAAGTAAGCAATTTTACTATTCAACAAATACAGCATTATGTCAAAACCGCAATGAATTGAATGTTTTGTTGAAAACAAAACCTTTTCATTAAGAATGCGACAAAGAAAAGCAAGTACATAATCCTGATCGTTGAAGGACCTTTTAAGCAGATGAAATCGCTTTGTTGGAGTCGTTTTGAACAAAATTACAATTACAAAGTCTTCAAACTATTTTTATTTTATTTCTTTGCAAAGCTACACAAATAAGATTGGTAAATGGAATGTACAAGAATGAAGGGAGACTAGAAGTGCAGAATAATGGAACCTGGGGAACTGTGTGTGCAGATAATTTTGACATATCGGAAGCCAGAGTGATTTGTTCGATGTTGGGTTTTGATAATCCGTGAGAACTATTCAACTTAATTTTTAGATAGTAATGCAAGTTTTATCATGCTGATGTTATAAGTCCTACAATGGACTGCTTTACTAAAATTAGTGTAAAAACATCATGATGATAAAATTATAATTGTGACTGATAACTTTGTCAGAACAATCCTAGTGCGTCACAATGACACAAACTAAATATATTTTAAAAGTTAAATGGCAGTATTCTCCAGACGCACGACCTAGAACAACTGTCATGCTCATGAGAATACAAGGAATTTTATATCGAATCTGGAATTGATATGAACATTCATTAAAAATTTAGTAATAGATTGTTGTACATGTTGTAACATGCTTTCTTTAGAATATACATTTAATCAAAGATCAGTTAATAATTATAACATTGAGAATCCAAAACATGTTTAACCCCGCCGCATTTTTGCGCCTGTCCCAAATCAGGAGCCTCTAGCCTTTGTTAGTCTTGTATTATTTTTAATTTTAGTTTCTTGTGTACAATTTGGAGTTTAGTATGGCGTTCATTATCACTGAACTAGTATATATATTTGTTTAGGGGCCAGCTGAAGGACGCCTCCGGGTGCGGGAATTTCTCGCTGCATTGAAGACCTGTTGGTGGCCTTCTGCTGTTGTCTGTTCTGTGGTCGGGTTGTTGTCTCTTTGACACATTCCCCATTTCCATTCTCAATTTTATATAAATTTGCATCTTTACCAAAAGCATGAACTTTTAAATATCGTGATATGTACCCTCGAAAAGCACTTTTATTTTTAAATTAGAAAGATCTCTACATGTTTAATCACAATCATTTAAACTTTTAAAGTTATAATACATACTTTTGGCTCATTGTTAGTCGTCATGAAACATTACAAAACGACATATCTATCGAAAGTTAACTTGACACTAAGTATACTTCCTAACAAAACAGTTTGCTTTACATTTCGATATTGTCTTAAAATTAACAAAGAATATGCCCCACTCCTGAAAGGATATATACTCTCTGCCCTGTAAAAGATGTTTGCATTTCACATATTCTATACGCTTCGTGCATGCATGTTGACATTTAATTTAAAAGTTATACCCTAAATTAAATCTTGGGATAAGAAAGTGCTCTCGTATCAATCCGTCTCCCTAAATTCTACATTTTTTTAAAGATTGGCATACATTATTGCATGTTGATAATTTGTTTGTTTTTCAGCTCACTCGCAAGACACCAATAAAGGCGACTGGCCTAATTTGATATCGATTTTGTCTTTTGGCTGAGGAACATAGAAAGACTGTTTGTCTATCTGTTCTTGTAAACGCTCTCGCATGTATAATTCTTGCCAAATTTGTATAAGATTAATATCAAAGCGCGAGCGCTTAAGCCTACATTTCTATAAGAAATTCATAAAATGTCTTAAGAAACAAAAATAATGGGGACGGATAAAATATAAGCAAAATATATATACAACTCGGTGGACTTTGGAACTCTTTCTTTTCAGTTTTTTTTATTTTCATTAGTCTGGATTTGCATGTCGGATGATACAAATGTATATGTATACCGGGATATGCTTACTCAGTCGATATAACCGGTATTCTGCATTTTATGTGAATGTGTTACTCTCACTTTATATACACATGGAAAAAGTCTCGCATCACCCTGATTTTTCACACAAAGCTAATTATTATGTATATATAATATTATTTATGGCTCCTAAATCATATGAATTATGCAATGCTGATATTGACAAGACAGCTGGAATAAATAAGAAAAAAAAGGTTGGACAAAGAACATTAACAAATGTAATCAAGTTCAATTTTTATCAAACAAGAGGAGAACTTGGGAACTAAAAATGTTAAATGAGTAACTATGAATATTTTCAAGTAGAAAAATTATTAGTGCTTTTCCTTTTTTTATGGAAACAATAAAAACAACAATGTCTTATACCGAGCGAAACCACCGTTCACAAATATCATCGATACAAACCGTCTTCTCATTCTAAGGTCCAAACGTTTAATGTGTTGTTGCAGTAGTCGTAACCATTCCTTATGCTATTTATAAAGATACTTATTCGATTGAGCAAATATAGGACATAATAAGTCTTCGTGGTACGTGTGATAGTACCACTATTTCAGAATTAGCCCAAGCTTTACAGCGGGAATTGCAACGACTACCACAACATAAAGGCAAATATGAGTCATGGAATAAGAAGATGGTAAGCATTGGTGTTTCCAATAAACGTTTGTTTCTTTCGGTATTGAACATTGTTATGTTTGTTGTAACCACGGACACATATTCTCATTCTCCAAACAAAGATATTTGTGATATTCAAGTTTTATTATTGTAAGCATCCAAATTTAAACATTGTTTTTTTTTGTTCCCTGCACATACTCTTGTTCTTTAAAAATAAAAGTCATTTAAATTTGCTATTTCTCTTTAACTTTTAAATTATTGTTTGCCTGTGGTCTTATAAATATTGGAATTGGATCATTTATAAACTTTCTGGGCAATAGATAATATCATTTGTTATAATACTTTGGTTTGCGAGAAAAAATCAGGGTGATACGATAGTCTTTTTGAGGTGTACACAACACCTTATAGTATGCATCCAAGAGAAATCCGTGATTCATTTACTAGCTGAATCGAAAATGTAATATTTATTATGACATTTTAAAAGTAAAAGTTACCAATGATTCGCATGCTTAAATTGAGCCAATATGCATGTTATACATTGTAGGTTTCCGGAAATATGTAACACGTCTTGCTTTGGAATAGGGAAATTGAAACCTGTAATATTAGATTTGAACTGTATAGGAAATGAGATTGATATTTCCCAGTGTGCGTTCAAAAGAGTGGTGAAAGTTTGCAGTAATATATTAGGAATATTTTGCAGTAAGGTTATCTGTTAATTTATCAAATTATATTGAAATAACGATAAAGTCGTACTACAAATAAATACAAGTGAAATATAGTGGTTTTACTTTTTAGAGGGTACCATTTTTCGTGGATTTAGAAAAAGATATGTTCTTTATCACAAGCGTGTTCCCAAAGCTTCTAACCTAAACATAGGCAAACATACATGTTCTATCCAGACATGTCGAATTAACGTCTCTTTCGAGTTTTTTTTTTTAAATTGTTTTCATTCACCCGAAACAGATTTTAGAACAACTATTTATTAATTGTCTTGGAGAAAAACGAGTTACAAGGAAACCCTACAATTAATAATACACCGATCTGTGAACAGTTGAAGGAAAGAAAATTTATTTTGTCCTTTTCAAAAATAAGGATTGAAGACATTTACATCTGGAAAGCTAGGGAGCAGTAATACAATACAGTAACTGTTATTACGATTTTGAAACATAATATTCAATTAGACAATATGTTTCATTAAAGCCTTACTACCGTGTTACCGTCGTATATCATCCTGACCCCTCGGTCACTAGCATGGTTTGATTTTGTCTGGCTAGGCAAGCTTACAGAAAATCTTTGAACGATTAGTGATATTTATAGTCTGCCATTGATCGTCTTATGTACGTGACTATGTGGTAACACAGTTACAATACCGTTAATAAGGCTTGTAGTCATAATCAGCTTCCCGACATAAATTTACTCTAACATTCGGTTAAAGCTTGCCTTGTATATGCGGTAAAAATGTTACTCTTTGAAATGATCTGTTGTCGTCAAAACTTCAAAAATGGAAATAAACCCCAAATAATTAAAAGTTCAGACAAATTTTCCATTTCCCCCTTTATTTACAAACGTCTTCAGCCACATATGAGCAAGATTCATAAATAAAAATTTATTGAAGCTCAATTATGAATAGATTACTGCTGTAGTATATTTTAACATATCAACGAGGTCATATATTGTAATGGGATGATATAATGTGCCCTTTTATTATCATCTTATTCTATGCTTATTAGAAAGGAGTTTGCTGACATAACAGTCAGGATTCTACTTCGTCAAAATTATCTCCCCATTACGCCAGCTTATTTTTACAATCGTAAAAATAGAAGCTATTGTAGCGATTACGCGCTTATAATTAAGCTCTTGAAAACCGATATATTTATCCACATAGCACTATTGCGATCCTTATATGCCTGTTGTATTTTAAAAGACAAATGTATCTAGTAGCTATTGATCATCATTTAATGTACTTTTCTGTTTTTAGTCAACTTAAAACTATTGTCTGATCAGTTGTCAGGGGGAATTTTCGAAAGTTAAAAAAACATTTTAAAAAATTCTTATTAAATATTTCGTGGAAGGGCAGACTAAAAATTTTAAGTGGTCAACGACTAATAACCCTAGACAAAAGACACAAGAAATGAAGTTTTTTTGAAGTTATGCATTTTTAAGATCCAGTTGTAAAATCTGTCGTCAAGTGCTTATAGTAAAACATTGTTATTCGAACACACCTACTTTGTTGTTATGACTCATTAGAAAGGTATTACGCTTGACCCATGTATATTATTTTTTATAACTGTGAATTTTATTAAATCAACATGAAGCCACAATAGATAAAAATAATAGAATCTGAAGCGAGATGATGTATCAAATATTTTTGCTTTATACATTTTTAAGACAGAAAGTCAACTCAAACACGCCCGAACACAAACAGATGTACTCGACTTTCTCTTTTCGGTGAAATAATTACCCATCTTTAGAAATAATTTCCAAAAAAACTATCGCCGGTATGGAACTTAATGCTTTGAAAAGATAAATCTGTTATCTTTTTGTGGATATGTTTTCGGCAGAATTTATGCTTATGCACAAAAAAGATCCACATGTATTTGCACCTATCACAATCAACTGTTTTATGAAAATGTGTCTATAATTTAAAAGTTTACAAATATCTCGAAGCTCCATACTATAATTTAAGTAAAAACACGTATTTAAATTGCATAAAATCCTTAATTATGCAACTCAATTAAACTTTTAAAGCCCTTAGAAACAGATGTGAACATTTCAAATATACCTATTTGGATTTGTTTACCTTCTCTAACAAAGAGTTCCATTTCTTTTGTTTAATTTCAACTGGGCATCCGCCTGATGACGAAACATATATTTATACTTTGATATATGAATCAATTCATATTTGTGCTTATAAAACCAGTGTCTGATCTGCTGCGCAAATCTTATTCCATATATATATATATATATCAATTGCAAATGATACAAAAATAAGATGTTAACCTTTGCATTCATCATTGATAAAAAAGAAAATATGAATAATTATATATATTGTATCGAACACAAAAATAGTACAATGTAGTAGTTCAAACACATTAGCTTTATATCAACATTGAACAACCCGAATTACGAATCGACAATTTTCGCATATTACAAGGTCGACTTTAGTTATGTAAGCAGTCATTCCTTTGAAGTATACTTGTTTGTTAAACCAGGGACTAACGTTCGACTCCTTGATGGTAGCAATCCTTCAGAAGGACGACTGGAAGTAAAACACAATAATGAATGGGGCACAGTCTGCAGTACCAACTTCGATGCATCGGATGGCCGTGTTGTTTGTCGCATGTTTGGTTATGATACAGAGTAAGTTTTTAATAAAGCTAAATACTTTTAATAATTGAATAAACAATATTATGTGAACTATATTTATTTCATGTCCAATGTGATGATACGTATATGTAAAAACACTTCAGTGAATCCGGATATCAGAATACACCATAATGCTTTTGTTTCTGTTTAATAAAGTCTTAGCGTTTCATCAAATGGGCGAGGATTTAGAACTTTCATATTGTTAATACATCTGTCTTTTGTATAATCTCTATGTAAAACTCTACATATGTTGTAGTTAGTTGTGTCGTACAGTTGGTTTGTATATGATATAGTACACATCAAGTATGTTAACTATTAAATTAATCTGACGTCAGTGGAGATATTTGAATACATTTATTTATTCATTTAAAGATTTCTATCCGACATCCTTCCTGTTTTCATTCCGTCCGTCCGTTTGTCTGTCAATTCAACATAGAGTACATGCGTTTTTGTCATACTTTTCTCATGATTTGAAAGCTGGGACTTTTTAAAGTATTCTAGATGTTATTAAATGTATTTGAGATGTACATGTTTCATGCTTTTGCATTTAAAGTTTTTCACTATGACAGGATTTTTTTATGCTAGAACATTTTTATATTGAAGTGCATGCACATATATTCAATATTTTGATATAGTCAAGATTTTTAATTATATATAAATTTCATAAGATACAAAATACATGGCTTTTCCGGCTTATTCGTCCTACACTTGTCAAGCTATGAAATTTGTTTTATTGTGCAGACTGGAAACGATAATTCAGGACTAAAAAACGTGTCCTTCCCCTCAAACGTATTTATTTCCTGAAACATTTCAATATGACGTCATTGTTCAACTGAACATATTTACGTTGTTGTGGAGCACCGAAATGTATGTTTTTGGGGAATGCCTGATGATATTTATATTCTAATAACTCACATATGTATCAACCTTTCTAAAAGTTATTCGGTACACACTATCATATGGTACACATGGTGGGAATGTCTTTTTCCCGTAAGTCGTCGAATTATCATTTTCGACTACCGTTAAATCCAAATTGAATTTTCGTCGAAATATCCTTACAATGATTCGTATGAGGTCTCAAAGAATAAAATGTTACCGTTATTGTTGAAAAATATATACCTTGATTCATGAATATCTGTCGCATGCCTTATCTTCGTTTAAGGAAAAGCAAACAGAATATATTCATTGTCCAAACTGTTTTGATAACCTTCAGATATCTTCAAGGTCTGCAAACACGGATATTATAACGTAATATAAGAAGGGGCGTCGAAATACCATACAAAAACATGATTTGTCATTAGATTGGTATTTACTAAATGGGTATTCTTATTCCAATAAAAGTTATTTGAGTTTTTTTCAAATATATATGAAAGTCATAGAAAAATAGGGTAGTTGATATTTAAATGTGCTTGCTCAATGTTTATTTGAAAATATTTCATGTATATTCATGACGAAAACACGTTAATAACTTTTACAACTTGTAGGTGTTACCATTTGGGCCATAATTTCTTCATTTGTTAAGCAGTTTCTTTGACTAACATTAAGATCTTCACTGCGTCTGGGTTTCGTGTTAAACATACAATATCATGTATGTTTATTTATATCCTTAATGTGACCCCTCTGATCATATCCAATTTCAGAAGGTATCTATTTTTCTGCACCAGATGCAATTAATGTCTTTTTGGTGATGCTCGAGGCCAACATATTCAAAATCTTTGATCAAAGAAAAGCATCGGTCATGTTTGGACGATATGTGATTTTACATTTTAGGGACACGTTTGAGCAAACTGGACACTTTTGCAAGGACGGACACGTTTGAGAATGTACCATATTTACTAAGAATGTTCACATAATAAAAACTAAGATTGTTGTTAAAACTTCCCAACAATACGATAAGAGCGCATTTTTTTTTCTGAAATTATCCATGCGGTGTACATGATTAATACGACTAACTTCTTCAGTTATTTGAAATAAGTATATTATGCTTTATAAATTTGATAGAATGCATAATGTTTGTTAATGTAAGATTTGCATATCGTCTTTAATTTTCCACACATGACAAGTCCTATTATGTCTCAGTAATTTACTTTGTTATAACATAACTTTCGTGTAACATGTGTAATGCCGATCGTTTGTACATATAGTACAGTGCAGTGCATATTATCGGGATGTTTATTTTCTTTAATTGTTTACCGGTGTAGTCAAGAATGTGGGAAACTTAGTTTGCCCGGCTAACTTCTACAGTCGAACCAGAACATTTGAATTTACAAACAGTCTGTATATACACACTGTTTTGTAAGTATATAAAAGTGGGCATAAGGTTAGGCTTTTGATTATTTTCAACCTTTATATAAATGAAAGGAGGTTGCATTGAGTAATTTTTATGGCATCGTGATGAGAGTTCGACAAACCCAGTAGTTCGTATAACAAACTTTAAAGGGCCTAGACATCAAAATATGGAACGAACATTACTATGTCTGTCTTCGAGAGTTGAGACTAGTAATAAGCGACAAAATTATGTAAAATCGCCCCTATTCATGTCATACAAACTGTAATTGACATTGAGTTGTTTAAAAATAATTAAAACTAACACTCGTCTTGTCTAATACGGGATGATGTTTTTCTAGAGAAAAAAAACTATGGATGTATCGAGACTTAAAATGTAATTTGAAATGGATGATGGTTTTAAATTTTTATTTGTTTTGCATTATTCAACAAGAAACTGTTAAAAGTTCCAAATGGTTGTATACTCTCAGAAATCTGTTTTATTAAATTTTTGAGTGATGCAGGACCCATTCAGATTTACATCGCAAAGAGGTTTTACTGTGAATTTGACAACGAGACAAGGCAAGAAGTCAAACTTAAAGCAATACTTAAAGACAAATCTAATTAAATGAAAACAAATAAAACTAAAATAAGTTATGTACTTTCTTAGCAAAGAGAACGTTTAAGAGAACAATTATCATGATACCAAAATTTGCAGCGTTTTCTTTATTTCTAGGAAATCCTTTTTCAGCAACAGAATGTTAAAGCCATGTTAATGATCAAATGTTACATATGTAAACAAACTTGTTTTGATGTGTTATATTGCCCAAAATAAAATAAACATTTGAAGGTTTTATATATAACTATATTTGAATTAAATGTGTATCCATTGTATTCATAGAAATCCGTCTATATATATTGGGGATCATTTTCAACTGAACGAAAGTAGGACGATATGGATGAACAATCTAGGTTGCTGGGGAACTGAAGACGATCTTGGACAGTGTAACTTTTCTCCCTGGGGACTTAATAATTGTTCTCATCAACAGGATGTTGGTATAGCTTGTGGTTAGTTTTATATTTTTGATATTTTCCAGCATACACAATAAAGTAAAGTTACATGTAATAAACATTTTATGTGGTTGAACTGGGAATGGACTAGTTGATGAACCATTCTATTTAAGCTTATTAGAAATTGTATATAGTGTAAAGTATATTACTCAATAGAATTTCAATTTTTAAACTTACGGTGGATAAAATGTTCGACTTCATTCCTACATTGCTAGTGACGTTTTAAAACAACACCTGGATCAAAGCAGGGAGATCATAAGTTAGATACATGATTTTTGCAGGAAAGAGTGTTACATTTCAGCATGTTTTGACTGAATGCGGACATTCTTTTGTATTACTTCAATACATTTCGTTTAACTAACACTTGTACAATTCGTCTTTTGTATTACTGATTTACTGAGTAAATAAAACTGAATTACATACTACGTTTATTATATGATCCAGATAACACGGGGACACTAAATATAAACAAAGTAGTAACCTTTTATGTACGTCATCTAACTTGGGAACCATATTATTACTTGTCTGTATTTATATCCCTGTGTTCTTGTTCAAGTAGAAATAAGAATTGATTTCAGATCTTTTAAAATTATTTACAACTTGTCTAGAATCAGAGAATTTAACATTATGTTGACGCATTCGCGTGAATGTTGTTGAAGACCATACGCTGACCTGATATTTAAGTTTTTATTCAGTTGTTGGATTGATATCTTATTGACGTGTATTATACATCTCATTTGATAATAATGCAGTACACGATTTTTTTATTTTATGAATTAATTCCTTTAAGTACATTAAAGGACAGAAAACGAAGGCAAATAACATAATTTGTCTCTTAAACTTTATTTTGTATCTGTATCCCTATAATTTGTATATTATCAGTCAAAATGTAAAGTGTGCATGCACTTGACATTCGTTTGTATTAATAGCTCAAAATAGATGATAATAATCGTTGCATGTCTTATATATTGTTTATATATTCATTGTTTCAGGTATCAGTGTACGATTAATTGGAGGAGCTTCCTATAACGAAGGAAGAGTAGAAGTTTACCATGCAAACGAATGGGGAACTATTTGTGAAAAGAATTTCTCAAAGAATGAAGGAATGGTTGTATGTCGTATGCTGGGCTTAAATACTGAGTAAAACATTTTTTTTAACTTTAAGCTATAGATTTTAATAAATACGTCTAGCTGTACATTGTAGGTTAATTGTGAGTAAACGTTTCTTTTGTTCAGTCTCTACGATGAATGCAAACTACAACAATCTCATTGTCGGTTTTGAGTAATGATAGTGTTTGTAAATTTGAGTTTGTTTGAATAAATGTGAATGTTTAAAATCCGTGATACAATAAAAACGCACCAATATTGTCGTAGGGATGTTCCGAATATTTGACAATATTAAAAGTAATGAAAAAAAACTGGTAAGGGAGATTGACTTTTAACAATATAAACAAACCATGTTGTACGAAATTGTAATGCTTTTTGATATTGATGATATTTAATAGCTACTGATAGATAGCTAAAAAATGACTCAATAATTAAGATGTTTTAAGTAACTTAATACTGACTTACCTTTTAGGATATGAATAATTATCAAAAAACTAAAATGTTCACTTACAGATAGAGCAATATTACAAAGAGCGTCGATATATATAATATTTATACGTATTAACTTTTGGGTTCATTTCTTACACGTAAACGTTCAACTTGGATGTAACAATGTAGAAGCAATTTACTGAATGTCTGGTCTAAATTGATAACAATATCTAAAAATGCGGTTTATTTTCGTAAGTTAGATACAGGCTTATGCTTTCATGGCGTTAAGTAATATTTTGCGATTGGTGACAATTGTATAATACAAATTTACACATCAATTGTTCACAATGCTTAAAGACAGACTACAAAAACACCAATATCAAAATTTCTGTTTTAATATAGATGTTTTCAAATGGCATAACGGTAGATTGTATCGCATAACCCGACAGTACATATTCAAATTTTCAATCAATCAATTTGGTCAAAATGACCTCAAATAACGTATAAATGTTTTGAGATTTATATATGATAAACTATAATAATAATAATTGACAAAAGTAAATAGAAAGTCAAATCACAAAAATACTGAACTCCGAGAAAAAATCAAAACGTAAAGTCCCTAATCAAATGGCAAAATCAAAAGCACAAACACATCAAACGAATGAACAACAACTGTCATATTCCTGACTTTGTACAGGCATTTTCGTATGTAGAAAATGGTGGATTTAACCTGGTTTTAAAGCGCTAAACCTCTCACTTGTATGACAGTTGCATCAAATTTAAATTTAGATATTATATTTAGATAGATTTAACAAAAATTTAAATTTAATTAGAATTTAAACCAAATGGAAACCGAAAACAAATCCACCAACTCGATTCAGATCCATTGATTGATTGCTGAATACTTTATGCAGCATGAACATAAAAAGGCAATGATGCAGCGAAAATTAGAACATTTCCGTTTAGCTGTGATTGTGTTTATTTAAAAATATTTGTCACGTTTATATAACATCAATTTCTCATAACACCAGTATAGGAATTCGAATACGAATAAAACTTGAAAACAAATGTTTAGCTTATAAATCTAGATATTAAATAATTCAAATAATCAACGCTGTTTCTATTCACGACAGCTTTTGATGGAATAGTCTGTCATTATTATACATATAAAGAAATTGACTGGAATCTGAAAAGATAGCTACAATTTTGGGTAGATTCTAAATATTGCTTAATCAATCACATTCAGCAGTTGATAATATCAGATTTTAAGAGTATTTTTTTCAAGCCCCAAAATATAGAATAGAAAATGATAACGTTTTCCATGATTTAACAAGGTACAATATTCTGAATTTTGTTTTTTGCATTTATGAAACATTTAAAACTTTTTCATTTATCTTGGCTTTCCTTAACATAATTATTAATTGCATGGAGCTATTTCACATAATATGTGAATATACAGCCCTTGGATGGAGTAAATTTCCTAAACAAAACGTGTATGGTGTAATGGTGTATGGCATAGGGTGCAATGGTAGAAAGTGTATGGTGCTATGGTGTATGGTGTAAGGTTGTAAGGGTGAAACGTGCGATCGGGAATGGTGTGAATGAATGGTGAACGACATTTAAAACTATGCAATATATTGATAAGAACTGATTCTTAATTTTATACATTAATTTACAATATTGTAATCAAAATTCGTTTTTTAAAATAAAAAAAATAGTTGTGTAGTCACACGCTTTCATTGAAAGTAAATTGCTTTAAGGTGTAATGTGTAAGGTGTATGGTGCAAAGGTGTAAGCGTATGGTGTAATGGCACAGAGTGTATGGTGTAATGGTGTATGGTGTAATGGTGTATGGTGAATGGTGTAATGGTGTATGGTGTTAGTGGGAAGTTTACACCATCCAAGGACTGTATGCATATTCGTATTACAAATTTGGTACAAGTTTAAAATATATTTTCAATGAAATTTTCAAATAAACTACTAATTTGTTTAAAATTAATTTATAACAGTAAGAAGATTTACTAAATTGTATTAAAAATATGGGGATTTATTATGACAGTATGATTCCACACTATGACTTAAATAAAAAAGGGGCATCTTGTATCCAGCTTTTTGTTTTAATTGTTTTTCTTTGAAGATATTTTTATTGGTGAACACATCTATTAATATAGGTTATTCTTAATTTTACTGTTCTTGTTGAATCGATGTGGCGCATATTTTTGTGATAAATTAAAATTCGCTAACTTTTGGTTTGAAATGGTTTTTTTCTGTATTTAGTCTGATTTCAGCATTGTAATAGCTCGTATATTCCTGCTTTGCTTTTTGGTAGTATGAAATATCTTTGCAGCGTAATTACTTTTACTAATAACAGTGTAGAGTTTTTTTTCTGTACATGTTGATTTTGAAATGTGCCTGTCTAAATTCAAGTTTCTCGTCCCGCAATTGTCGTTTATAACACAGCTATCTTAATTGATTTCGCTATTGTGAGTAATAATGACGGACATTTGTATTGGTTTTTTTTTTTAATATTTTCAAAACTGATATATAGATATATAGCTTGATATATTGGGAAGACACCTATCTTCTTTTTAAGTCGGTCAGTTGTCCATTACATGAATTTTTGTCTTTGTTGTAGTTGGGGTTGTTTGTTGACGTATAACCACATCTTCAGTCATTCATACTAATGTTATGAAGTAAAATATTATTGCTGCATCAGATTATAAATACTATGTAGAAGTAAAGCATTGACATTTCTTTACATATACAAAAAGGAGAAATAATTATAAGCAATATAAAGACTTTCTTTTTCATAAATAAATTCAACTTGATTGAAAAGAAAAACTGTTAATCTTTTCGAAATTCCACGAATATACTGTGTGCAAAATCACGCAAAAATGAAATTAAAATAAATCAATAGTCGTCGCTTCCACAGTTTCAAATATCATCGAAAATAAGGACATATTACATAAACAAGTTTTAAATTTTATTAAGGTATTTTGTTTCATCTTATTAGAAATGTAACAGTTGTTTCATCCTCAACACATGGCAATGGAAATCAGAGTATCGAGATCGAAGATTTAAAATGTTTGGGAACAGAATCACATATTGCTGCATGCACATTTCGTGGTTGGGGCCATGTGGAATGTATCAGCGGGGGCGCAGTCAGTGTTATCTGTGGTAATTAAATAAAGGAGTTTACTTTTCATGCGTAAATGACATTACAGCTGAAATCAGCATGATCAGTTATTCATTCAAGTTTTCATTTTAGACTTTCGTGTATCTAAATTGAAAGTTGCTGTTAAAACATGAAATCATTATAATAACGTTTTGAATACGTTAATTCGTGTTTCTCGATCAGACATAGACTTAAGATGCTGGTTTTAATGAGAATTAAATCAATTTCAAGTCCTGTAAAAACAGTGCATACAAGTATACCTCGCAGAAACGTTTCAATTATAGTTTGCACAAAAACCAAAGAGTTTTTAATGTTTAAGTGTTTTATCCAAATAGAAGTCTTTTTCTATTGGGAAAAATTGTGTGGTACTTTTCTCTCCGTTATATAATAAAAATATAATTTTCAGGAGGAACAAGGATGCGACTTGCAGGCAGTATCCGTCCATCTGAAGGACGCCTTGAAATATTTCATAACAATGTTTGGGGTACAGTTTGTAGCGACAACTTTGACACACTGGATGCTGCAACTGTTTGTAAAATAATGGGATATGAGACTAGGTATATTACTTTTTATTTCATAATTGATCAAATTCAACTGATTCACCATGTCGAAACCACTAGAATTTTGACGTAAGAATATATTTGCATAGTTATTTCCCAAATTACAAAATGCAAACATGCCCTCGGTAAAATGACCAATCGACACATTTAACTATAATGCTTTGAGGGCTATTATACATTTACTTTCACTTAACAACACTTGAATTTGAACTTGGTTGAAAAAAAGGGCCGTTGTGAGTTCCATCATGGAATTTGATGTTTGAATTGTTTGTTCGTTGAATGTTATACATGTTATTTATTCAGCACAATCTTCAATTTGTATGCTCAGATTTGATTACTGCGTCGTACACAGTTATACCAGCCATTACCTTTGCAAGTAATTGCATGACGTAGCATCCTAAACAGGACTGGAAGCTTTAAATTCTTGCACAATTCTAAAGTATAATATGTAGATCCAAATGTCCTAAATTCAAAAGAAGAAATGAAAAAGTTCAAACAAATGAAAATATCAGAAATAATTGATATAAAACAAAAACAACTAAAATACGTAGAACAGTTGGAAAACCAACAAATATTGTATTGCAGCACTTGTTCTGCAGACTGGATACTCATTTCAATATAAACAAACATTTTGAATAACAATCTTCAAGGTATCCGTACGCCATTGGACAAGCTTTCTTTGGTGAAGGTACAGGAAAAGTATGGTTGGATGAGATAAACTGTAACGGGACAGAGGATGACATATATAAATGTGGATCGAATGGTTGGGGTCGAACAGATTGTGGACATTCAAAAGATGTATCAATTCTTTGTGGTAATAATTGCTCAGTTTTTACCGTTTTATCGTTTATATTTTATTGTAAAAACAATATATAAATGTATTGCACAACGTCCCTACATATATTTGACAAAGTAGTGCTTTAAGGGCATACGATACAGTAACAGGGGAGGTAATGACCTTTCTAACGTAAACTTTTATATTTCGCGACGCCAAACTATGACATGTCGGCAAAAACACTTTTCGATTGAATTTATTCAGTAGCTTGAAAACGAGTACATTGACCCCTCTTTTTTGAAATAACGTTTGGCTTAATGATGTATGAAGATTATTTGTACCATTTTTCATGAAAAAATTGCCAATCGAAATGTTTTAAATTAAATTTATATACAGCAAAAATGCCGTATGTGTTTTCTAAAATTATTAAAATGTAATAAAAAAGTATATTTTCCAAAGAATTATTTCACAAGTTCTGAGCATATTTATGCAAAGAAGATCTTCCAAATGGTTTTACAAAATTCCGTTTGTGTTTACCTTCTGAATGCAATTTGCCATTACAGTTAAGTAACACTTTGAGTGCAATTCAACGTTACAGTTTTAAACCAGTTAAAGTGCAATTAGCATTTATGGTTTTAAGCCAGTTTGAGTGCAAATCATTGTCGATAAACCTAAATCTGTACATTAAAACACTACTGTGGATTCATTATTATTCGTTGGATACCGATTTTCGTGGATTTCGTGGGTACAGGTGAACCACGAATTTAGATGTTCAACGAATTGTAAATTTTCAATAGGCTTGCATACAGACTTGGGCAAAACCACGAAATCAAATATCCACGAAAATACAGGCATTCCTCAATCCATGAAAATTGGTACCCACGAAAATATATGTGCCGGGTTATATTTTCGGTTCAAACATTCATTGTTTAGTTCAGATACAATACAGAATAAACATTTCGACAACTGCGGGACTAATCAAGATTAAATGAATAACTATAGAGTATGTTAAGCTTGGTCTACATTGAACATCGCTTTTACAGTCAAATATTTAGTTTACCTTGGGAGGCGAAGTGGTGTTAGGTAGCCAGATTTTACGATTTTTTTTATAAAGTAAGTTAAGAATACAATAACTATAAAATAAAAGCTATTGTCATGCAAAACAATTAAAACAAATATTTTATTTTATTATTTTGGTGTCAAAAATTCATAAATCGGAATTTCTGTGAAACGGTTTCTTCTCTTTCATTTCAACAAAACACTTTAAAATGATAAAATGCTTCCAGCATCAAACTTTGAAAAAGGCATTCTAGAACTTGTGTAGGCTTCAGACTTCTTGTGTACGCTTCAGACGTTTTTGATTGTTTATGTTTCTGAAAACTTAATGGAGTTTCCTGAATACTGTCACATTAAAGGAGAATAACCCTGAGATGCGATGTAACAGAAAGAGATTGATTTGTCCTTTCAATTCTATAATTGGAACGCCAGTGATAAGTTTTGTGTCGATGCAACGCGCCTCAGGCATAACTAATCTTTGATGGAGTTTGATAAGCAATTTACATGTTAAGATGACATAATTACATAGTGCATTCTTGACTAACCCGTTAGAGCAAAATAAAGGCTGTTGAGGAGGTAGAAAAACATGCAAAAAAACACATCGACACAAAATCACAGATATTTCAGTTATTCTTTCGTCGTATTCGAAAAATTGAATGATGCAAAACACTACGATGACTTCAACCATGCAACCATGTATATATCTACGTAATCCTTGATATTCGGGGAAAAAATGAATGTATGGAATATAAAGAATACTGATCATACGGATATTTCTTATACTGCATATGTATTTTAATCTATGTCTAATGCGCTCTTCATTTTATGTATGTCAGACACAATGGTTCGATTAGCTGGAGGATCTAAATCCGCAAATGGTAGAATTGAAATACTTCATAATGGACTATGGGGTACCATATGTGATGCAAATTTTGACCAGGCCACAGCGACAGTCATTTGTACTATGCTAGGTTACAATAACTCGTAAGCTTGAAATTGAAGTAAACAATTCAGTTTACAGCTTATAATTTGTATCTCATACAGAGTATTATGCTACGTATATGATACCACTTGCGGAACACGCTCTGAAGTTGAATTTCTTCTAATTTCAAGTTTCTTGAAATATTCTTCAGATTTTGAATTGTTTTACATTAGCCGTTTCGGGGCTTTTTATAGCTAACTATGCGGTATGGGTTTTAATCATTGTTGAAGGCCGTACGGGGACCTATAATTGTTAATTTCTGTGTTATTTGGTCTCTTGTGGAGAGTTATCTCATTGGCAATCATACAAAATCTTCTTATTTTTATATTTCATTATCATATGTATATATATTGATATATATGCAATAAGTCTTTGTAATTTGTAGGTTAAGTTGTAGATATTTAAATGGATGCATTATCGTAGCATGTACGCAAATATCTATATTCGGTAGTAAACATATTTAAAATACTAAAAATAAAATCTGCATTCACACAAGTAGAAATATGGAAAAAAAAAGTTCGAAATGCACTAAAATACAATTTATTAATTATATTTTTCTCCAGTTCTCCTTTTATATATAAGTATATTATGGTCGGGTTGTTGTCTCTTTGACACATTCCCCATTTCCATTCTCAATTTTATATAATTATGTATATAACTTTTTGGAGGTTAGCATTTTTGTTATAGCGATGCAGTCATGTATCCACATGCTCAATATGGACCAGGAACAGGGAAAATATTTTTCACCAACCTCCATTGTGCTGGAACAGAATTAGACCTAGAAAACTGCAAATATTCTACCTGGGATAACTCACAATGCACCCATAACAATGATATGTCAATAGATTGTGGTATAAATTTAATTTCAATTATAAACGTTTACAATGTTTAATAAAAAAAACATCCCTAAGATTTTGTTATTAACACTATAATGATAATTATATAATACTAATACTACAACTATTCATATTACTGCTTCTACTGCTATACATGTACTACTACTTGATAAATACAATAACTGTTAGGCAACCCATCATACAGGAAAACAATAGGGTCAATTTCAAAATGTTGACGCTTACAAATTTATCCATGCTCAATATCTGTATCACAGTGCGATAAATATATGACTGAATTGTCTAAATGAGAGTTTCAGTATGTTTTTAACCAAATTGTTCTATTTTATCGGAGGTGGGGAGGTGTTACTTCGTTAACGCACACACACATTATTTTTTTCAGAATTCAATAAAGTTATTTAATTTAAAACCTACAATCATACGTTTTTGTTCCTTTAATCTGATATTTTTTTTACTTCCTTATTTTGAACGAACAGGAAAAAATAATAACCTTTCTTCTGAGGTTCAATGGTATCCCTGATGTCTGTTTAACTAGTATATAGATGATGTGTTATTGTTATTCACGCCAGTTTAGTATAACTGTTTGTCTGAATGCATTAAACCTTTCAGAATGGAAAAAAAGTTTTTCATTTAGATGATTTGCAATTATATTGAAGCCTTTGGTCTACCGTAGATTACAATCGAACTTGTTATATAAAATTTTCAGTCATATTTTATAACTTCAATAATTTGTATATATATACTTATTGTTGATTTAAGGCAATGTAAGTTCATGTTTCGCTTGAATCATATTTTAATTTTACGTTGATGGCATCACGTAATATAAAAAATAAAATAAAATAGAATACCGTAAAAATCGTGTATACATAATTTTTTTTTGTACAATTTTCAAAACTCTTGTATGTTAGATATAGTATACTCATAACATTGAGTTCAGTATACATACAGGTTCTCGGGTAGTACATGTAAGTACCTTTTGCTGTTCAATTTGTAGTTTCCCTGTACCATTTCGGTTACTAAGAAGTTACGCGATAATCGTATAAAAATGCATGCAAAAATAACCGAAAAGTTGATCACATTTCAATATAACCCGATATACCTTTATTTAACTTTCATGTAGCTTAAAGAGTGTACGTTTATCTCAGAACGTATATGATGATGATGATGATGACGATGACGATGATGACGATGATGACGACGACGACGACGAAGACGACGACGATGATGATGATGATGTTGATGATGATGATGATGATGATGATGATGATGATGATGATGATGATGATGATTTTATTTCAATTAGCTAACTTTCAATCAGATATTCACAATCAGTTTATATTCGTTTTAGCTACTCCTGTACGACTGCTTGGTGGACGAGGTCCATTTGAAGGAACTGTAGAATTGTATCATTTAGGGAAATGGGGGGAAGTTTGCGATACCAACTTTGACGTTAAAGATGCTGAAGTTATTTGCAGAATGCTAGGTTATACAGCCGGGTACGTTTAAATAACGCAATATAACGTGGTTTTAAAGATAGAGAAACATCAATTGTCTTCATTCTATTTGTTACAAGAAAACAGTAAAATCACAAAAATACTGAACTTCGAAGAAAATTCAAAACGGAAAGTCCCTAATCAAATGGCAAGTTCAAAATCTCCAACTCTTCAAACGAATGGACAACAACTGTCATATTCCTGACTTGGTACAGGTATTTTCTTATGTCGAAAATTGTGAATTAAACCTGGTTTGGATTAAACCTGGATAAACCTGGAATGCCATTCTGCAATTAATGTAAATTGAAAAACCATGACAGTCATTTAAGATTTTAACGCGTTATCTCCGGGAAATAAGCATTTGGCAGGGTCTGGGTTAATCAATTTTTGCGAAAAGAATATACTCTAACATTATTGATCATTTTTACAACAAATTAAACATTTAGAATTAAAAAACGCATCTCAAAACTCAGAAACCAAAAATAGTTTTTAATCTTGAATTATTTTACCTGATTATTCCTTATCTTATTGCAGAATTGATTAGGATTAATATGTTGCTAGAATTACCTTTTTTCGGAATTGTCCATAGATCCGTATTCAAGATTGAGCACTTAATTATTCATTCAGATTTTGTTTACGCTGCTAAATTTATTTCAATTAAGTCGATCGAATACATGAAGGTGTGGTGAAACTAAGTAGTTTCGATACTTTATATAACAGTAGGAATTGAGTATACGCCAAGTTATCATCAACCGAATGACAGAACGGCTAGTATTGATTTAGGAAATTATAACCAATGCCAATTAACATAAATTAACTGATAACATGTAACAAGCCAATCTAGATTTGTTGAATATTTCGGTTTTGTGTTGAAATTATTTCCCCACAAGTGAAATTTGTTATCAGAAAATAACCCTTAAATTGTTATTTGAACTCAGTTACAGTACACATGGTGCTGTTACCAGCTAACTTTTTGAAACGATCTGAAAATATGTAGTTAAATAAAGGCAACAGTAGTATACCGCTGTTCGAAATTCATAAATCGATTGAGAAAAAACAAATCCGGGTTACAAACTAAAACTGAGGGAAACACATCAAATATAAGAGGAGAACTACGACACAACAGAAACACAACATTAAAATGTAACACACACAGAAACGAACTGACTTAGTACAGGACATTTTAAGAAAAAAATGGCGGGTTGAACCTGGTTTTGTGGCTAGCCAAACCTCCCGCTTTTAAAATATAAAAATAACATTAAAATGACAACATTACATGACAGGACTACAATACAAATAAATGGGAGAACATACGGGACAGAGAAACATACGAATAATCGCTAACAAAAGGTACCAGGTGCACGCGTTTCGTCCACAAAAAAACTAACCAGTGACGCTCAGATAAAAAAAGTTCGAAAGCCAAAACAAGTACAAAGTTGAAGAGCATTGAGGACCAAAAGTTCCAAAAAGTTGTGCCAAATACGGCTAAGGTTTTCTGTCTGGGATAAGAACATCCTTATTATTTAGAATAATTCATACTTTTGTATAAGATAGCAAAAAAGTATGTAGTTTTACAACCAATTTTTTTTTCTATGACACCGGAATTACAAAAAAAAATAATGTGAAATTGACTTAACTTATGTTTCCAGCAACAAAAAATGAACCACGAATAAAGTAAATATACGTTTGATGACAGAAATGTTTCTTTAAATGTCCCTTTTTACGAGTAAATTGCAGAAAAAACCGATTTTTACTTACGTTGCAAATTTTTGAAATTTTACGGGAAGCGGTATCATTGATGTCGATTTTGCTATAATACAAGAAGGACTGTAACAAATCAAATCTTCTTGCCAAGTTTTATAATGTAAAGTTAAAAAATATAATATAAAGACCCATAAGTCCGATCTATCGCACACTAAAATGAAAAGTTTCTGTGTGGAAATGGGGTAATTAAGTGTTATGATTTTTGGTATTTAAAATTTCTATTATTATTTCAAAGCTACAAAAATGTACTATACTCAATCCAAACATAAAATACAATACTTTTATCGTGCTCTACAGTTAATGCGTTGCATTTAATGATAGCCTATAGCAAAAATAAATTGGTACAAATATCGTGCGAAACTACATTCTGGATCACCATATGTCAACCATAAATAAGAAAATGAAGCATACTTGTTTGGAAATTGACAATGTTTACTTCTTTTTGAGAAACATTTATTGCTGTGTGTTTGTTTATTCCACATTGGTAACAGGTATAGGGGGAGGGTTGAGATCTCACAAAACTTGTTTAACCCCGCTGCATGTTTGCGCCTATCTCAAGTCAGGAGCCTCTGGCCTTTGTTAGTCTTGTATGTTTTTTTTTTTAAATTTGGTTCATTTATATGATTCGGAGCCTATTTGACGTTCATTTTCGCTGAACTAGCATACATGATTGTGTAGGTGCCAGCTGAAGCCCGAATCCGGATGCGGGTATTTCTCACTTTGTTGAAGACTCATTGGTGGCCTTGGGCTGGTTTCTGCTCTTTTGTCGGGTTGTTCTCTCTTTGATGCATTCTCAATTTTATGGTAAACTGTATACAAAATGTTAACTGAATTAATAAGAAATATACTCATATTTATTTTAAAAATTTAATTAAAGAATACCACGTTTGCTGAACAGTACTGACAGTGGAACAGGATTAGTTTGGATTGATAATCTTCTTTGTAATGGAGATGAAATAGATGTCGCTTTATGCAAATCGGATGGTTTTGGATCGAAAGCATGCTCCCGTAATAGAAAAGCAGCAATATACTGTGGTATGAATATTGTTGAACAATTATTATTTTTGAAACAAATCAATCTTAATTAGTTTTCTAAAGTTACGTACTTCCATGTAAGTAAAATGTTCTGAACTCTATATATCAATGAAAATGAATACCGATTTAAATGTCTGATCAACATGAATAAACACTTTATCGAATGCAGACTCAAATAATAAATTGAAACCAATAATTAGTTGTATTCATTCTAGGTCAAGATATTCAAGTCCGAATTCATGGTGGAAAAGGTTCTTATGAAGGAAATATTGACATTTTTCCAGGAAACAAATGGTATCCTGTATGTCAAGAAGGTTTTAGCATGTCTGCTGCTAAAGTGGTATGCAGAACGCTTGGCTTTCCCGACAGGTTATTTTTGTTAATTTTATAAAGGAGTTTTACATAGATAACATTGAAAATTTAACGATAGATATTTTCTTAACTCTGTACATCGTTCATCGCTGTAATCACTTTTGTATTTCCAAATTCTGTTTGCACAATTATTCTTTATAATATTTCATCCCATTATTATCTATATTTTATATTTTTGCTCAGTTTTCTTGAATCGTTATATCTTTTCAGCCCTTATTGTTTTCTGTAAAACCTACCCAGACCCTCAATTAATCAGCAATAGTTTTGTAATTAAAAAAAAACTCCAACTTTTCCCTGCATTATTTTGAAATTGACCATCAATTAGAATACAGAGTCAACTCCCAACAAGATTAACGACGTCATGATTGAACTAGCAGGGGAAAAAAACCAACACACATGTACACCTGTATTCATTAACAAGATATAGAAAACTAAAGATTAAAAGGAAATAACGATATGGCAGAAAGGGCATCGTACCGTTGCATGATTATAATAGTAATACAAGTAAATCACTTTTATTTAAAAGAACAATAAAATTAAGAGAAATCGAAAAAAGTTTATATGCTTGACTTTTCCAAGTCTGATCGATTATTTTTTTCCCTTTACGACAGCAATGATCCGGAACTACTGAACAGTAGCAATAGTTATTTTGTTGACAGTTTAACAGATTCTGGACAATTACTCTCTTGTTCTGGATCAGAAGGAGATATCGGACTGTGCAATTTAAAAGAAACAACAAGCAGGTGTTCACAACAAATCATAAGATGTCGTAAGTAACATTTCCATTTTGATAAAAAATTACTAATAAAAATAGTTATTATATAAAAAAAAACATTCAAATAGTCGATCAAAAAAACATTAGAAACATGTTTTAAATAATTTTATAGATTAAACTTTGGAAAAAACAGAATCTTTTCAGTTATATATTACACAGACATGACAGAAGTCAATTGTGTTTTATGAAATATCAAATTGAAAATGTTAAGTTGTTAAAGTTCTAAAAATCAATTGTTAAAATTAAGATCATATTCAGGCAAAATATAATAGAAAGATTTTCGAACAGCATAAATGTAATGTAATCATAACATTAAAAGGTAGATAGAGCGTGAATTTACCTTTTTTTCTATCTTCGGTAACCAAATTCGGGTAATATTTATAATGATTTTTTTAATATATTGAAATTTAGATTATTTGTAAAAATACTAACACACAATTGATTAACCAATTAAATTTGAATTGTTTAAAAGGGTTGAAAATATTTCAAAAGTATACTTTTATATCACACCCGGTTTTTTGTGGAGTTCGTGTCGCTCAGTCTTTGGTTTTCTATGTTGTGTTTTGTATATTGTTGTTTGTCTTTTTATCTTTATCTTTTTTACTATGGCGTTGTTGGTTTATTTTGGACTGGTTTGAATGTCTCTTTGGTATCTTTCGAATGAGCAATACACATACCAGTATCCCTTATAATGTACCATATGTCTTACTTTGCAAAAAATAATTATTATACTATATAAAATAATGTATGACATCACCTGTTGACTTTAATCACATTGAATTGTTTTAGCCCGAATAGCCGTACGACTAGTTAATGGTAAACAACCAAACGAGGGACTAGTTGAAATATATCATAATGGTCAATGGGGTACAATATGTGGTGGAGGATTTAAAAAATATGACGCTAACGTTATTTGTAGAATGCTTGGATTACATACTGAGTATGATTAATACAATACAAAATATCTATACTGATTATTGAAACTGAAAAATTTTATTTCTGGTTGTGGTACGACATTAAGCTATTGGTTCACCTTACATAGACATGTATTTTTGGAAATACAAAAACTAAAGTTATAGATATAAAATAAGGATATGTGGTATGATTGCCAATGAGACAACTATCCACCAAATTTCAAATAAAATGAGTTTATCATCTTTTTTATAACAAGCTTCCAGAAGTGTGGATTATTAACAGTTACCCTAGTTAATATGTTTTGACAAAAGAAATGTTATATTAAAAAAAATAATTGCTCTTGAGATATTATTTTTCGTTTCTATTGAAATGTGTATTCTTGTGTTAATTATGTTAAAGAGATGAACGCCATTCAAATTAGTACTATCGTATCATTTTACCTAAATTTGTTGTAACGATCTTTTTTTTTTTAATTGTTTGTTCTACTGCAACTTATGTTTTATCGTTTCTCAAGATAAATTTATTTTTCGTTATTATTATAAAGGGAGCAGGTTTTTCTTAACGAAGAATTTGGAACATCATACGGTCCTGTTATCCTACAAAACATTTCTTGTACAGGAAGCGAGAATGACATATCAGGATGTTTACTGAACTGGAAAGTTAACAATTGTTCTAACCAATCTGCTGTTGGTGTTAGATGTGGTAAGATTAAGCATGGTATATTTCCATAGAAGTGAAGGTGGATTTAAAAATAAAAAAAATAATATTAACCAAAGGAACAATCAAAATGCCTAAGTCAAAGAAATAACAGACGATACCAAGTTAAAAAGAAATTCAATTAAAAATTAACAGAAAACTAAAAAAAACTTAGCAACACAAACCTTACCAAAAAAAAGGGTAATCTGAGATGCCCCGGAAGGGTCAGCAGATCCTGCTCAAACAGTAAAAATCTCTGTATTATTGTAATTAAAAAAGATTTTTTTACCTACAATATCCCGTTGGAATTATTCAAATTAAGATCAAGAATTAGGAGATCTAAAGTCTGCAAATTTAGGAAATAAAAAAATGTGGGAAAAATTTTTCTTTTAAATTAATAAAATAATGTCGCTCTTTGGTCAAGTGTTCAATATAATGAATTTATTTTTAGGTATTTGACCTCTTTGTTCCTTATATGGGCCATGTAATTTTGATTTAATAGGAGGCGTCATTTGAATTATACTGAAAGTTTGATTGTTATATCTCATAAAAAATGAGGCATTGTGTGTAAATATTGTATATATCGATAAAAAAATCACAAAAAAATCTAACAAAATATTTAAAACAACAATACCAGAGAAATTGAAAATTTGCCAAATTAGGGTCTGCAAATATGACACTTTGCAGTTATATGAAAAACAAAATTAAGCAATTGACTGAAACAATTCTGCTGACATTGTTTTTTTTGTAATCCTAATGCACATTTCAAAGTAATCGTTATTTTATCACCAGTTATTTTGAAAACCGCAGTTGACGGAAAGTTTGAACAAAACTACATGTAAAAAACAAGATGTCAATCAATCGTAATGACTTTTGTAATGCTTAATCAGCTGTTCTTTCTCATATTATTGCTAGAACAGTAAGAAAGAAACTTCAAATCTCATTTTTTTACAACTTAGAAAACATAGTTACATACTTTTATCTTCAATATCATTATGCAGTAACAAAATTATTCAGTTAGACTTCATAGGGAATATGATATGTTAAATCCAAATTATAGCATAAGTGCAATACATTTGAATTGTGTGTTTTTAAGAGCTCTAAATGCTACCAAAGCTACAGTTATCTACATTGTAAAATTCTTTTCAGTGCCAACTCCGATACGATTAACTGGTGGAGGTGGCCCATGGGAAGGACGGATAGAGGTTTTTCACAACAGTCAGTGGGGTACAGTTTGTGACACAGGTTTTGGAAATGAAGCAGCTGGAGTTGTATGCAGGATGTTAGGATTTCTTGATGGGTATGTTGTTAAACATTTAAGTTATAATCAATAAAAAGGGGTTTCATTAACTCATGTGTTAACTGGAAGATACACAGATTACATATCACTAAATAAAACAATTGCCATATATCATATTTCATTGCCAATACAATTGTCAATTTTTAACTCGTTCTATCGTACCCGTATTACACATGGGCAGTTCTTATGATCTGATAATTCTACACAATGCTGTCACAAAGCACAAAAATCATACAAAATTCGATTCGAAAGTTAAAATTGTATTAATTGGGAACATTTTTAAATGTAATAATTAATGTACTCATCTATTTGAATTTATAAAGGGTATTTTCACAAGGTAAAGAGCTATTTTTTCCAGATTTTAGTTGTTCTAGTTTTCATTGTATCTAATCTAATCTTCAAAACAATTATTAATCTAAATTTGATTTTAGTACTACAAACGCATTTGCTCACAGTACATCTTTTTATGGACAAAGCAGGATGCCTATTCTTCTTGGTCAAATATCATGTACCGGAACAGAATTGGATATAAACGGATGCAGAACAAAAGAGTGGGGATATCATTCGTGCGACAACAACCATGAAGCCGGAGCATTGTGCAGTTTGTATTTATATCATTATTTGATTTAATTTAAGGAAGTAATGAATAGAATACTAGTGTACGGTTACAACAGTGTTTTAAACGAAATGCACGAACATGGCTGTTTACTTCTGCTCCCCTCCCCCCCCCCCCCCCCCCCCCCGAAAAAAATAAAAGAATTATCTAAGGTCAAACGTTGGCTTATTCTCTTAGGTCGTACGTTGACTAATGGGTGCTTACATTTACGTCATTTGATCTCTTGTTGACCGCTATTTCACTGGCAATTACACCACATCTTCTATTTTTTATTAAATGGGATCAAAATTTTGAAATCTTAAACATGACATGAGAGGAAAAGCCAAATAATATGTAAAATGTGAACAGCAATGGTTATATTATTAACAACAACAATTGTTCAGAATAGCAATAAACATTTCTCTAAAAAGCAGAACTCGGAACAAGAAATGTAAAACATTGAACCATACAATATAATTGAGATAAAAAAATTATGCTCTTTGCGCAGAATCCATATTGATACACTGTAACATTTAATACTAAGAACAAGTCCTTGTTTTAGAAAAAGAAATTAGGTAAAAGCTGTTTCCATTTTGTACAAACGTCGATGGGAGTGTAACATCAACATGTGCCCGAGGTATTGAAATGTTTGATTATTCAAATACTTAACACAGCGTTATATTCTTTTGCATTTCAACCAGGAGCAACGAATATGAGACTTTCTGGAGGATCACACACGATGGAAGGACGAGTTGAAATAAAGATCGAGGGGACATGGTCAACATTGTGTGATGAAGAATGGAATGATAATGAGGCAACAATTATCTGTAAAATGTTAACAGAATATCCCTTGAATCGGTAATATAACAGAAATGCATACATTGTCTTTATTGATTTCATTAGGACAATGAGGTAATTAGTAGTTACAGAATATACATGTACCTTAAGGTATCATGTCAGTTGTGAAAGCCAAATCACTCAATTTTAAATTTAAACATTGTTATATTCATATCTTTAAAAAAGTTTGATCACGCATATTTTATTCCTAATTGCTCTGGACATTAACCTTTTATATGCGGTGACACCGTGTGATTTCCTAATATACATATAAAAAAAGAGTAGTGGTGGCTTTTATCGAGTGATACTCTAGTACTCGCTCGGAAAAAATATCTACACAATAGGAAAACAATAATGCGCATTTTACGATTTGTGGGTCGTAACCTTTGACGTTTAACCCTCTACATCATTATATTGGGCTAAATAATTATAGTCACAGGAATGATCCATTATAACTAATAGCTCAATCACTACAAGTACCAAATAAGTAAAAAAAAAATACAATTATCAAATAAAATCATTTGAATATGATTGATTACAGAGTCAAACCAGATCCAACAACCGTCACATTTTCATATTCTAAAAGAAAATACATTTCTGAAGATGTTATATGATTAGATGTCACCGATGCAATGCCTGATTGTCCATTTTAACGTTAATGTGTTCTTCGGGACGATGTTTTGGTCTTATATGGTGCTTCTTGTTTGTTGCTCCTAAACAATAATTCAGGATAACTTCACAAAGGTGAAACATAGCAGAGTTAATGTCCAATCTGTTCAAAGTATTTCAACACGCAAGATTCCTGAAGAATGTTAACAATTCCGAACAGACGTACGAAACGTTTTTTAACTACGATTATCTAATGATTTCTATGGAATTCTCCGAGTTGCGTTCTGCAAATATTTTAAAATTACTTTATGGAAAGAATGGGACAATATCCTAAATAAAAAGATTAATCTAGTATAATTTTGGAATTCTATACCTGATACTACTGAGCGATATTCGAGTACTCGTTGACATTCTTTCTATTCAGATTATTTTTGCCCCCGCTGGTCCGTACACAGTAAAACGATATTTCATGTAAACGTTTAGCACATTGATATAGTATAAGTCATTATCTTTTTTGCCTGTCTGTGTCCGTTCGCATCAAATTGTCAATACTTCTCTTCACAAACTGTATTGCAAAAATCTTATCATTCAGAATCGTTTTTATAATGTGAAGTTGAACATATAATACAGACATTCCAATAAGCCAATATATACCGGAGAAATGGAACTTAGAACATGAAATTCACCATTTAACACAACGTACTAGACATTTGTATACTTATTTTTGGTATTTTATAACACAACCAAAAAATTTCTGCTATAAAACCATATGTTTGAAAGGGTTTATTTGAGGAATTATTTATGTTGGGATTTGTTAGTTACATGTATCTTGTATATTTCAACATATCCTAAGGGCTCTTTGAAACGATTTCTTCCTTACATGTATCATGTATATTTCAACATACACTACAGGGCTCTTTAAAACTGCCATTGGGAGTCTAATCTGGAGACTAATGCAATGGAAAGTTTCAAAGGCGCGAATGCTAGCTCGCTCAAATGTAAAAATCCTCTAAATATTTGTGCAAATTCGTTATAGATAATTGGAAACACAATTTCGAAACATTCATATGTTCGATTAGACTCATACTATTATGTGCTGAATTAGCAACTGCAACGTTCAAACCAGTAACATGTATAGTTAAAACATTTTTATTTACATCTAATTTTTTATAAGATTTGTAATTTTTTGGTGCATAAAATATGATGATACACTCATTTTGTTTCTGTCTTAGAGAATATCACGGAAAATGAAATTTGATCAAAACATGCAAAAGATTTATAGTTAAGTTTGCCTAAGGTAAATTGGATCATATATAGTTTAAGTTAAATTTTTTAATTTTCCAACGGGAAATTCAAAATTATGCGATGTTTGAGATCACGTGCATTGCAATTTTTGGCTTTATTTGGTGGCAAATTCTATACAGGCATAGTATAACATTATTACGTTTTGTTCATTATGATGACGATAAGTTTAGAAACACATATCGTTGGAAAATAGTATCAATCGTCTACTATGGATCTATTAATATTAGTGGGTAACCAATATTCGTAAATTTCGTGAGTATGGACTAACTAAGAATACAGTTGTTAAAACGAAGTACTAATTATCTGTGAGCTTCAGTGTAGAATTAGTGAAAACATCGACATACAGTGTTCCGTAAAGACAATATTTCTTAAACCTACAACAATTAATAACAGCGAAAATAATTGAATAAACAGTAATTATATTGACATTTGATTAACATTCACATTTTCAGCTTCGTTCACGGCAAAGCATTCACAAACAGTTATTTTGGAGAAGGCAGTGGTACGGCCATGTTATCAAATCTTAAATGCAATGGAACAGAAGTAGACTTATTACACTGTTCAATGAAAAGAGGTGGGCGTCCACATTGTGACCACTCTCATGATGCTGGAGTGTCTTGTTCACGTAAGTAAATTTACATAAAGTGGAACCATAATGCTTTCACTTAAGCAATAGGCCGGACTCTCGAGGAAGCGGCATCGGTTTACAATCAAATGTCATTTGTCATATTTCAGATAGCAACATCATTTTTGTGATAGTGCACAGATCAATATGATAAAAATCCAGTGAAAAGAATTCCTTAAATAATTATAATGAATCTTATTTTACAGCACTTTATAAAGTTAGATATATTTGATCCGTGATAGATACTAAATTTGGTTTGTTGGAAATACGAACTCTATATCTTCTTACTGCAACTTGTATTGCTACCGGATATATACAATATATGTACATTGTCGGAAAATATACAATTTATTTGTATGAGCTTTAGAAACAGGACGAAAAGCGAGGCTCGCCGAGCTTTTCTCCTGTTTCGTAGCGAGTACAAATAAATTGTATATTTTCCGACAATGTACATATATTGTTTTTATCCTGAAATTTACACCCAAAACTTGAAACTTTAGTTGTTAAAATATAAATCATTGTCTATAATTATTCAAAGAAATCGACATAGTTTAAACGCGGACCGCAAAGAGGACCCCAAACTGAACTGGTACGCAAAAAGAAATATCCACATTACCGCTTGCTCAACATGGAAGCGGGGTAACAGGATACTTTATTTGTACAAGTACAAATAAAGCAAAAATTTATAAATACAGTTTATTGCTTGTTATAAACTACTTTTCTGTTAATTGTTCATATTTAACTTATTTACTGTTTATTGCTTCTATTTAACTCACTTCCTATTTATTGTTAATCTAATTAAAATCATTTTCATAGTGTGACTGCATCAGTTAATCATTTACTCTTTATTATATACCTGCATGGACTTATTTTCTTTCAGAACGATAGGTCTTTCTTTTGAAAAATCAACCCGGACGATACCTAGTTTCAATGAAATATGCTTCTATGCATAAAATAATGACCTGCGTAAGGTCATTTTTTTCCTTATTAAAATGCAAAGTTTAATTTATTCAAACATTTGATTCGTTTAATAGTTATCGTTTGTTGTTACCAATTGGGGTTTTACTTTTTAATTTTCCATCTTTAGTAGGTTTAAGACAGAAATAGTTCTTTCCTTCGTTTATTGAAATACAAAAATTGTCGTTGACCCACATTTTAACTTTCAAAACAAATAATATGAAGTTTTGTTAAAGGGACAGTATGTGAGATGAATTTAATGATGCAAAACTTTTCAAAATATTTTAAAACAGGCCAGATTTAACACATTCGTTTGTAGGATTTTGGAATTCTTATTGATTCACTCATACTATTATGTATTGGAAATCATACGTTGACCTATTGTTATTCGTTTTTCGTGTTACCTGTACATGTATCACGATTTCGTACTCTTTTCATTCCAGTTCTTAACTTTTTACATTTATATATATCTCCTACTCTATCTACTGTTCAAATGACCCAATTTTCGTTTTTTCTATAGAATAATACCACTTACTTTAAAATGGGGAAGGGGGTATAATGGTTATTACTGATTCTGAGTTTTAAAAAAAAGTTGTATTGCCAGACAAAAGAAAGACAACAATTAATCTGAATAGTTCGTTAAAAAAAATGTTGAAAAAATAATCTGCTTTTCCGCGATTGAAATGTCATGAAAAAAAAAACATAGCACCCCTCTTTCATAAACAAAATTGATACAATGAACTACTTACAAAGTGACATGTATTTTTCATACACCGTAACAATTCATTTCTGTTTTGCCTCATGCAGTTACATTTTTTTTTTGTATTGTAACTGGACAATGATTTCTTAAGTTCATACCTAGATTAATTAGTGAGTTTTATTTCACATTATAGATGAGCCGTAGGAGGTATTAAAACATGAACGCATCGGAACAAAATATCCTACTTTTGTGTGGTCGGTACAATAGGAAATTTATACTGGAAATTTTTGCAGAAAATAATATTTTTTGACGGTATATAACAATGTATAAATCAGATGATGCATATTTTAAGGTTTTTCTTGTCGTATAACACACCTCGGGGGGTCAGGATTACCCTAAAAAAACACCATTTGATTAATGCTGACACACCTCGTTGCGTTATATAACAAGAAAAACCTTAAAATATGCATAATCTATAACATATTGTGTAGGTCTACTTAACGATGCGGTTTAACAATTACCTTTGATGTCTTTCCCAAACTAATACTGCGTTTGCATAATGTACTGCATATATGGACAAACAGAAAAAAAGGTGTCTTTTACTGTTTAGATACTGTTCAAAATACCGAACTATAGCTAACCCCATGCTCCTTCCAAGAGCTTGTGATAACATGCCAAACTGATGTTCTTGACGAATTCATTAAATGCGAAATGCTCTTTTCAGAACTAGACCAGTACCGGGTCTCGATCTGCTTCTTATATGCTTGTATATAATTGTATTATTGATTGAGATTTCAATTATGGGCCAACAGTAGTAGCTGCACTATATATATAAAAAATAGCTTACCCGCTACAACTCAACATTATCAAGTTGCAGACAAATCATAAAATCTTTCCTGTTCAAATAACCCATTAAATTTTGACGAAAATTTCTTACCAAGGTCTTTCGGACAGAGTCGGGTGGTTACTGTAAACCAAATTATTTTCGCGGATATTCTATTTCGCGTTACGTCCTTTCTAGCCCATTTCGCGGCGATTTAATTTCGCGATTTCCAAATTTACTTGATGTAGTTAGATAAGGAAAGATCCAAGTTTTACATGTCCGCGACGATTTTTATATGCGTTATTTTTCTACTCGCGAAAGTCGCGAAAATAAATCGCTCACGAAAATTAGTTGGTTTACAGTACTAGACCTGTTGTTGCTGTTGTGACGAAGGTTTTTGTTTTATCTTATACAATATTTCACAAGGAATAGAGAAATTCTTAAAAAAAAAAAAATAATCTGTTTTTTTTTAGTTAATTCCACAACATATATCAATGGCAACAACAAATATAGAGGCACCATACAAACGCATGTTGGTAATTTCTCTGGTAGCATTTGTGGAAGAAATGTTCACGATATTTTGGGAACAGTTTTATGCAACAGTTTAGGATACTGGTAAGGTGTTAAACTAAATGGTTCTTAAAAATAACTGAAAGTTTGATTCATAAACAGGCTAAACCGTGGATAAACAAATGTAATTTTACTAGACGTTGACTCCTCTCAGATATAATATGGAACGTACAGCAATCATTACTCCAGTGCGGATTTAAACATGGACTTCGATTGCCATTGATATGATTGCAAATTATTTCAATCCATAGTTGATATATATATGAAATTCCATATGAAACAACCGAGAAACCGCAATGATTTATTTTGACATTATTTACATATATTAGATTTCAAACATTATCATCCTCTATCGCCTATATATAAAGTCAGATATTTTCAAGACAAATTCCGAAAAAGATACATATTACTACAACAGATCAAACCGTTTTGTACAAAGGTAGTTGATGAAAGTTTTTATCTAAACATGTATTACACATGTTACAAAATACTTAATATTTTAGGTACATTCCATTATAAGATTTCCTAATATCAAAAATATAATTGATTGCAATCTGATCCAGTATTTCCAAAAAAACATCATCTTTTCAATACATGTAAGTTTTATTCTAATTCCATGCCAATTTTAGGACTAAGGACTTAGTCAAGTGTATGATAATTTGCCGTTTTTAGAGATATTGTTACTTCGCTTGTTAGTTTTCTCTGATAGGAATTAACGAAAATGTTTGGTGTACGTCAATGACTAAATGAGACAGAAACGTCCCTTTACGATATTAGGATATGTGTTACTCTTATGGACCAAAGTATATAAATTATACAGAAAATATACCAAAAATCTTACTGCAAACCAAGGTTATCCTCCTAAAACACGAATAGATAAATATAAAAAAAAAAAAATAATTACTCTAGAAACTTGAAATTGTGCTACTATTACGAAAGGGTGACCAGAAAAATATCTCTAATCGATTGCCTTACCTTAATGAAAACCGTGCACTTCTATATGTTTAACTGTAAATGTATCACATTTCTACATAACAATAGTTAACCAATGTTGAAACATTGTATTTACACATGACCTTTCCCTAGTTATCAGGTACTAAAATAGCACTCTTAGTCTTCCGGAAATCTTTTAAAAGGCAGACCATGCAGCACACCTATCCTACACTGAAGGACAACTGTAATGAAAAAATTGGATGTAAAATGATTTATACTTCAGTATGAGAGAACATGATTTATTTATAAGTTGTAATTGGCTTTGAACTCGCTTTCAGTAACTGCGAGTATTCGTATTTCTGTGCTTTGTGTCTATTATTATTATGGTAGTTGTTTTGTGTCTCGTACTTATCTATTGGTGTGAGTCAATTGCAACTGATTTTCAATGTTTGTTCTTATATTGTGGTTTACAACCACTGTCCCAGGTTAGGGGAGGGTTTAGCGCTTAGCAAACATGTTTAACCTTGCCACATTCTGTATGTGCATTTCCCAAGTGTGGAGCATAAAGTTCAATTGTCGTTGGATCATGTCTGTCATATTTTGTTTCTTAAATTATATTTGATCAATTATGCCAAGTTTTCTTAAATGAATGGTTTCAACTTTTTTTATGTCGGAGCCTTTTATAACCAACTGTACGGTATAAGATTTGTTCTCAATGTTAAAGGCCGTATAGTTGCTTTTATTTGCTTACACCCTCTACATTTGAACTTTGGTTGATAGTTGTCTCATTGGCAATCATACCACGTCTCCTTGTTCATCTTATTTTATACGAGAAAGATACATAAAAGTCAAAACAATAAAATCAGCACAGAAAATGACTTAAGTTCTTAATGTGTAAACGAAAATAATAAACAATATGAACACCGAAGCACAATAAAAAAAATGATGAGAAGTAATACAATATCAATGAATGCTCGCAGTTAAACTGAAAATGATTTCCCAGTTGAACTGAAATCAATCCGTCCATTAGTTTTGCATCAGGAGTCTGTTTAACAAAAAAACTCACGACTAAGATTGATCACATACAATCAATCTTAGTCGTGAGTGTTTTTGTAAAACCGACTCTAGTAGCTGTACTTTAGAGCAGATTCCGTACATAATCATAAAAAAATATTAATAGGAGGACAAGGTATTTAGACTAACTTGTATAAAACATTTAAGATTTATTGTTTCAGGATGAACACAGCAATACTCTACAAAAATGCATGGTTTGGTCAAGGACATGGAGTATCATTTGATCTACAGACAGAATGCTCGGGAAAAGAATCAAAGATTTTCTTTTGTCCTCTAAAGAATACATTCGGAAAACAAAACTGTCAGCATACTGAGGATGTAGGTGTTCAGTGTGTAGCCACACCACTAGGTAAAATTCAAACGAGAAATTTTTCACGTCATTGTTGAGTTCTTGTTTTTTTTTTTTCTGACTGCAGTGTAACGTACAACAGTTCTTTCTCAATCATCAAATATATGTTTGTACTCATTTCCGAGGTAAATAATTAATTGACCACAGCTTTGGTACAGTAAATATATGTCTAAGATAAATACAAGGTATGCTTTAATCGTGGATTGTAAAATAGCAGTATACAATCGGTCTAATTCTTTGCTCAAAACTTCAAATTTTGAGACAGATTGGCAATTAATTTGTAAGCCTGTTTGTTACAAACAAAGAATAATAAGTTAATATTCATTGCAATATTAACACTGGTTTATTAAAAACCAAAAGTTTTTTTTTTAATCATTTTTCAACTTAGCCATTTAAGGGAAGGTAACTCTGATAGTAAAAACTCTTTAAAGAAATAATTTTAAAAAAGTTTAGTTTTTAACATGTAGCAAGAAAACAAGATCGGTGACATTATATGTTTCTGTCTATTTAAAAGCATATTATAAAACCTATCTTCTCATATTTTATTTCAAAATTCTATCTCATAGATTTATTTATTGACAAAATAGCGTTTTTGTCATGAACTATCGTTTCCACGACTTGTAGCTTGAAAAATAACACAGTGATCCATACTTTGTATTATATTTTTTTTTTAAAGTTTGGTGAAATCTACATTTTAGAAAACTATGAGGATATTCTATCGTAGGAAATATATACCAATTCTCCACCTTAAACTTAATAAGATTTATGTATTTACCATTTCATAAATAACAGTTCTCCTTTTGTTGCAGGTCTTGATAAAATTAGACTAACTCTTGGTCAATCAAAAGGCAATGGTAGACTTGAAATAAAGTATAACGGAAAATGGGGCACAGTGTGTTCCGAACAATGGACATCACAGAACTCAAAAGCCGTTTGCAGAATGTTGGGTTACCAGTAAGATATTTAAAATGAAACATCGCAGATGTCTAAACGTATGACCTTTTTGAGGTATTAATTTTATATAACATCATTTCTCAGGTATACATCATTCGAAATATAACTGGAAATTATGCATAATAGGAATATCATAAAACAAGAAGTCTCTCGACTACCACTATATATGTTACGATTTTATTTGTTTTGCAGAAATCGTACCATTGAGACAAACACGATACAAAGGAATGACACAGCTGTTGTTCTTGGATCTTTAGACTGTCTTGGAATTGAAAATGATATCGGATTCTGTAAAGGTGACATCGATAAGTCGCAATGTAATGATGACATCGTAAACATTGACTGCTCAGGTACATTATAACTACGATTAAGAATATAAGATCATATTACGTTAAGGAGATGTGGACATATATAATTTTGTGAATTTAAAAAGGAGAAACGAATGTCACAACGATCTGCATACCTTTTTAAACACAATGGCAGCTACTGGATTATTTTCTTCAAATAAACTTCTACTTATATTTCAAAGATCTATAATCTCTTGAATGCTCTTTAACTTAGACATTTTTTAATATGATTTGTCCGTCTAGCTGTGTTGATTCAAGCACAACTGGTATTGGAGGCTAAACGCGCGTCTTAACAAATTATAAGTTGAAGAATTTTTTATATTAAATTCTTCTAATATGTCCAGAGCAACAGTCTTCATTTAACAATCGCTATTTTCAGATTTTGATGGAATAAAAAGGGAAAATTTAATACTATTGGGGTGTCTGCCAATTTAAAAATATTATTCGCGGAACAAAATGTGAATCTGCATTCACTAGCAGAAAATACTAGTATTTGATATTTTTACGATTTCGATGTGCAAAATACATGTACACCACACGTGAATTACACAATGGTGTGAAGGACAGATCGTGTTTGTGTGTCCTTTCTATTCACAGTTTTTTTGTGGAACTACGGCAGTTGGACTTAAGTTCATGTTTTTGTCTGTTTCTGTTGAAATTCCTGCAGATTCTGGAATGATTTGGTGTATATAATTGGATAATAATGAACTTACTTTTAGTAGGAACGCTTCAATCCAAACATACGTGGCTATTAATGTCACTAGCACTGTTATCGATGCGGGTAGTAGTTTGAGTGTGATAAATGTCTTTTTCTCTTTCGTATAACAAATAAATCGCTTTTATGTCTTGATAATACCGATATCGTCTTCCAGGATGATACTTACATATTTATATCTCTGTCACGTATTTGTTCTCTTGTACTAGTCATGTTAACTCTGATACATGTTAGAATTATCAAAACAATTCAGTTGATTTCGCTTTTAAAAGATAATATTCGACAAATGGTTTACGTTCTGATTCCATTCAGTTTAGGTTTGAGCATTTCTGATGAAGGTATATCCACAAAAGCGTTTCGGAGGCACGAAATTTAAAAGAAATTATTATCATTTACATGTATGACTATGACAGCAACTGGGACAACTTACATTTGCACGCATTTCTTCCTTCCTTAACTTTTCTTTGACAAGGGATTTCTTGTACACAAATATTTGGTTCCTCTTACATGCTTCATTTCTAAAGATATGAAAAAATTATCGCTTTGCTTTACCTTATATATATGGATATAAAACATATTATACTGTTTGTTGTTTCTAATGAACTCTTCGCCACTTTTCTTTTTATGATTTTGATTAAAGGGGGAAACGAAGTTAGACTTTCCGGGGGATCGTCACCAGCTGATGGTCGAATCGATTTAAAAGAGAATGAACAGTGGGGAAGTCTGTGTGACAATAATTATGGACTCTCAGAATTGCAAGTGCTTTGCAATACGATTGGGTACAGGTAAGCTGTTTTCAAAACTGTGAAAATCACTTAAAAAGGGGATAAATAAGATAGAACCGATATTAACAAGATAAGCATGTAGTTTAATTATAAATAAGAAGATGCATGTGATATAATCGATAACAGAAAAACTTTTTAACAATTCTTTTTTTGTGAACTTCAATTTCTTGAAGCAAAATTGCGAATGTACGTGCCTGTGGAAACTACAATTGAACATACAAATGGAGATTGTCTTCAATAATTCAGCGTGTCAACTTGTGTAAATATTTTTTTACGGAAATTCTGTTAGATGTTTAAAGAAGAGGGAAATAAGAAATGAAAGATAACAAATAGGAGAGAAAAACAATTGTTAATGTTATGTTTTTGTTGTATTTTAGGGACACATTTCCCTACTTATATCACTTGCCTTCCTTAGAAATGCATCGGTCAGCGTTTGGAGTTGATCAGTTGACATGTAGCGGATTGGAGGATCATATAGCTCAGTGTCAAATTTCAAAAACAGCATCCTGTCATCATCGTTACGCTCATTTAAAATGTTTTGGTAAGAATAGTTATTGCATTACTGGTTTGAATTATTAATATGAAAGACAACAAATCATATGAAAGCATGCGTTGAGTGAAATTTGGAAATGTAAGGTTTTTTCAATCTCTATGTAAATACAATATGAATGAATACTAATGAAAAAACATAACAAACATTAATACACGCTGGCTGCTTCACATGAAGTATCAATAATTATCCTGCAACGATGAAAAAACTCAAAATTAAATGTACATCGTCATGCTTATACCTTGTCAGAAATTGTCTGAATGAAAATCCCAAAATTTGTTTAGTAAGCCATTTTTATCAAATGAACACAAAACTAAAAAAACTATACGGAAACACAGGAATGGGTGTATATGAATTGGTTAAAAAAATGAAATATGTTAGTACTATGTACTGTTAAGGGATCTAAATATTGAAATTACTATGGTAGTACAAGATAAATAGTATCATTAATCAACGGAAACATCGAACAAAATAAAAAAAGCTATCAATTGGGTGCGACAAAAAAAGATCACCACGAGATGTATACAGTTTTCAACAGGTTCTGTCACATGCCTAAGTAGGATATAAATTTCTGTTAAATATAGCGTTAAATTTTCTTTCGCTATATCATTTTCAGAAACTATTGCGTTTTCAATGTTCTAGGTAGAAAGTTGTGTGTCGTTTTTCTTTTTTTGCCATGACATTTTTTTTCTCGACTCATGAGTTTTAATATCCCTTTTGTATCGTTCGCCTTTCTCATGCTACATGTTCTGTGATGCTAAAGAACTTGGATTTTGTAAAATATGAGAGCAAAACCTCATTTTTGCATTACAGTAGATAGTTAGTAAAATTTAACTTTAAATGAACTTCGTTTTTTAAAGTAAACTTTCGAGTAACTTTTAGCCTTATTTGACTCTATTAGTATTAAAAAAGAATATACTTTTGCAATTTAGATTGTGTACAACAGTATTACTCTGCAACTGGTACTGTCATGTCTGATAACTATCCTGGTCGTTATAATCCGAATACAGATTGTTTGTACATCATACAACCACCTCCAGGTCTGTACAAACTATCAGTTGATGTCTTTCAAATGGCAGACACAGGTGATTTCCTCCAGGTAATCCTTCTTGTATACAGTTAATTGATAACTTATAGTTGCTTATACTAATGAATGCCAGAAGATAATGTAACTGAAGCATACTATTTAGTTTTGTTTACTTTCACATTAGGTAAAGTGCATTCCTTGATAAATGTACACATTTGTACACTGTTTAACTATTGAAACGAGTTGTCGCAATGAGGTAAGATACATGTACAAATGATATGATTTGTTCTTATTGACAAAGGAGATGTGGTATGATTGCCAATCAGCCAACTTTACAAGAGCCCTAATGACGGTGGATTAAAACATCTATAGTTCACCGTACTGCCTTCAACAATGGGAAACCCTATACCGTATAGTCCTCTATAAAATGTGAAACAATTCAAACAATAAAAACATCACAACCTGATTTATGACATAACACTTTACGACAAACTTATATTACAGACAACAACCAACTGCGACAAACACTCAATGTCCAAAAGTATTCAAAGCGTTTGTAAATGTTTAACGTGCTAGAATTGGTATGCATATATAAACTATCATAAAAATCTTTTCACTAATTTGCATTTCTTCTTTGTTTTGAATATCCTGTATTTTCTTATGGTTGTTGCCCGTTATTATTTCCCCCATAAAGAGATAATTCTCGTACCACATTGCTAGGAGTGTGATACAAATAAGTGATACGACAAATTAGTTTAATTTGATTGGCTTATCCAGCATTATTAGACGATAATGCGACATTTCTATTAGCTATTCGTTTTGTCATTGATGATTTTCGAAGGTTTATAATATGTAAATTTCGCCCATGGCAACGGAAATATGTGATTTTTTCAATTATATACAATACACTCACACTTTTCATCTAAAAAAATCTGCTAATTTGTTCAATTTTAATACATTCTGAAGCATACAAAAAGTTTTAAAATGTCTGATGCTAAAAGTTTTAATGCAGGAACTAAATATATGACGTCATATTTGTATGCCAGTGCAAAGAAGATAAACGATTCGTTGATTTTTTTTTTATTTAACACGATGAGAATGTTTACCATAAATGAAATAGGTTAAACAGTCGTGAGAACTGGATATCGATTGATATAAATCTCGTTATTTAATTTTAATAGTAACAAATTGAATATAAACTCGCACAAAGCTCGTTTATTATTATCTTGTAATCAAATAACTAGAGTTGATATCAAGCGATATCCCATGTTCACTAGTTATGAAATCTATTCTTATCATTATTAAACAATATAACAATGCGGACGATTCAAGGGGTCAAATCGTATTTAGAAAAATATATGCAGTTTTATTTTCAATATATTCTCGGTATCTTCATAAACAAAGACAACAAAGGACCATAATAATGTCATTAATTGTCAGAAGCTGCACGATTAACCTAATTCTATGTACCAGAATGATTTTATATATCTTTAGTTTCTTTTACCAAAAAAAAACTTTGAAAGACATGATATCTCCGTTGTATTGTAGATAAAAGATTCACCCTTTGGAAAAGAACTAGGAAAATATTCCGTGTCATCATATATTCCTGTGGCCTTATCCAATCAGTTTTGGATAAGATTCAAGACAAATGGGCAGAGATCAGCAAGAGGTTTCAAACTCCATTGGTCTCGTAAGTGGTATAATATTTCAGCAATGTTTGCAAGTAAACAGTTTTGTTTTGTAAGCTAAATGTATTTTTAACAAAAGGAAATGAAGGAATCGTGTTTCGCTGTTGACATTAGTACAAATATCTATTTAGGGTTCAAAACAGCCGGAAAGTGAGTTTTCTCTACAATCTTTTTCACGAATGTGACCTACCGAATTAGTCTACTTTCCAAATTTGTAATAACATAAGCAACACAACGGGTGCCACATGTGGAGCAGGATCTGCTTATCCTTCCGGAGCTCCTGTGATCACCCCCAGTTTTTGGTGAAGTTCGTGTTGCTTAGTCTTTAGTTTTCTATGTTGTGTCATCTGTACTATTTTTTGTCTGTTTGTCTATTTATTATTGGCCATGGCGTTGTCAGTTTGTTTTCAATCTATGAGTTTGACTGTCCCTCTGATATCTTTTGTCCCTCTTTTAAAAAGAATATGCAGAAATCCTCCTGTTTACATGACATTTCCTTTTTTTGTAGCATCATTATCATGCTTCATATAATGCAAGACTAGAGCAGCATTATATGCAATATCCACTTGTTTTTAGCGTTGAGTTGTACGCATTGACGTATATCCCAACATCTACCTTTGTTCATTTAGCTCTGGAAATTACTATGTATTATTTTTGTTCCTTTTTTGTCTGTTTACATATAAATGTCTTAATTTGAAAATAGATTAAGGCTTTGTAATATCAAGCATCGTTTGCTTAATTCGACATTAACAATTTTGTTAAAAATCATAACTATATGACGAATAGACAGATTCATTTAATGAAAGATAGATTCGTCAAATTTGATAAAATGTCAACGATTCTTTACCCTCATTATTTTAAATGAGAGCATAAAAATAAAATATCGCTCGCGTTATTGATGTTTCGGAGCCACGTGTTCTAATTGTAATTTTTCAATTACTATCTCAGACATCTGTTGAATGGAACTATAAGATTTTTAAAAATTTAGATTACTTTAGATTTTTTTAATCTGCCTTATTCCCAATAAAGAGCTATAGATATAATGATGTGTTATCATCGTAACATCCTTTTTAGCTTACTTGGGACAAGTGGGCTTTTCTCATCACTTGGCGTCCGTCTGTTAACTTTAACAAAAATCTTCTCCTCTGAAACTACTGGACCAAATTAAACCAATCTTGGCCACAATCATCATTTGGGTATTTAGTTTAAAAAAGGTGTCATATAACCCCGCTTGCCAACCAAGATGACCGACATGGGTAAAAATAGAACATAGGGATAAAATGCAAGTGTTGTCTATTTTTTGAAAACCGTTATCAATAGAAAAAATCTGTCAGGGGCAGAAATGTTTACAATGTTTACATCCCAACTCCTTTGTTCTAACAGGGGTGATCTGAGTCAGATCACCCTTACCAGATCACCCTACGTTGAGTTTCTTTGTTATGCATGCTTTCTTTTGTTCTGTAACATTTTGGCGGGAATGTCGAACACAACAATAAAACTTAGACATATTTTTATTCCGTATTATGCGGAATAAAAACTAACTTTCAAAATTTATGTATAAACAAGAATGTGTCCATAGTACACGGATGTCCCACTCGTACTATCATTTTCTATGTTCAGTGGACCGTGAAATTTAGGTCAAAACTCTAATTTGGCATTACAATTCAAAACATCATATCATAGGGAACATGTGTACTAAGTTTCAAGTTGATTGGACTTCAACTTCATCAAAAACTAACTTGACCAAAAACTTTAACATGAAGCGGGACGGACGGACGGACGAACGAACGAACGAACGAACGAACGAATGGACGCACAGACCGAAAAACATAATGCCCCTCTACTATTGTAGGTGGAGCATAAACATCTATTTACTTTCCAGTGTCTATGCGGGGAACCGAATTCAAGGCCTTAAGCATATGAAGCCACGATTCATAACCCTACACCAGGACGACTGGATTCAAACTCACTGTTAGTTTAACATATTTAAACATTGTATCTGGGGATCATAAATTGTATATACTATATAGTTATATATAAAGTATATCATAATTATTGTATGGCATTCTGAACTAGATGTCATGAAGCGTAAATGTTTTTTCATATAGTCTTAAAGGAGCTGGGATGCAAAAGTGTTAACCAACTCGGACTTGGTGTGTCAGTGTACGATCACCCTCCGGCCTCCAGCCATCGGGGTTATCTAACACTAACACACCGTATCCTCATGGGATAACTAATACTGAGCTCTTCCAATTGACTAATTACGTTAAAACTGTCAGAGGAATTCTTATATGAGTTATTGCCCTTAAATGACAAATTTTACCATTTTTTTTCTTTTGTGCCTATCATCTTTAAAACTATATGATATACAGAGAAACTTTAATTGCAATAATAATCACCAAGACGAGACCTTGAATTAAGTCCCATAGTCGAAATCATCAGTCGACTCCTTCTATGAGCTATTGCTCAATGATGACAATTTTTACTATTTTTTTGCGTTTTTGCCTTATATCTTGATAATTATAATAAATAGATAGAAACTTTAAATAACAAAAATGATCAGCAAGGCAAGATCTGCCAATAAGTCAAATTTTGCCCATACAGTTATTAGACGGTCACTCTTTATAGACGTCATTGCCTTTAAATGAGGATTATTTTACCCTCTGTTGTGTTTTGAGTAAACACTTAGGAAGATAGAGAGAACTAAACAGACAAAACGATCAGCAATAGAATCAACAAAAAAAGAGATTTTTGTCATGAATTCTATTCTCGTCTACAATGTAGGATATGCACATAGACCTAGTTGAGCGACACAGGCTCTTTAGAGCCTCTAGGTTTGTTTTTTTTTTTAGAAATGATTACCACAGTAATTAGCTTATTAACACTTTAAAAAATACTATTCAACCAAATGATTAAGTGACTGTTCAAATGTGACGATTAAGTGACAGTTTAAATGTGACGATTAAGTGACTGTTCAAATGTTACGATTAAGTGACTGTTCAAATGTTACGATTAAGTGACAGTTCAAATGTGACAATTAAGTGACTGTTCAAATTTGATGATTAAGTGATTGTTCAAATGTGACATATTGTCAAATTACTTCCTCTGTTTTTATCAATCTTTTTAAGTAAATTAGTTATTAATATAGGACCGGACGTACTAAAAAAAATCTTCTCTTTTCGCGCTGCAATTTTACAATAAGCAATGAAAATGTGCCAATACATAATTACAAAATCTGAATTTGTTAATTTTCGAACAATTAACCTAGTATGACTGGCCTGATAGGGGGGTCTCATCACGATTCACGAGTTGATTTTTTTGTCAATCACGATTCACAGAAAATAAATTTCCATGATCACGGAACACGAAAATATAAAAATACAATCTGTAGAAAAACCGATCACGATAGCGAAAATGCGCCGATCACGAAGAACGAAAATAACCCATCAGGCCCCTCTAGTATAATTGTTCGTATCGCCAATGAGTTTATTATCGAATTTTGATTGTAGAAAAAAATGTACTTATCGCCATCAAGTTTATTAGCGTATTTTAACTGAAGTTATCATCATAAAGTGTATCTACGGATTTTAACTGTACGTGTCGCTATTAAGTTATTCAAAGCTGATTATGACTGTACGCAACGCCATTATATCCATTTAAACGATTTTAACTGCGTGTATCGCCATTATGCCATTTATGAATTTTAACAGTAGTTATCGCCTGTATTTAATATACGGATTTTCACCGTACTTATCGCCATTAAGTTTATTTACGGATATTAACTGATCTTATTGACATTTAGTACAAAAACATACATGAATGTTGATCATGTTGATGAAAAGAGTTTTATTTTGAAAAATTAGAAAAGAAAATATGAATATGTACATGTAGCGACTTATTGGAATGTTGTTATGATGTATATGAAAATATGTAACGTCAATACATGTTAAAATATAAATAATTGTTGTCTTAACGTTGTTTTGCAACCATTTCGTGGACAAATAAAATTCAGTACGCGAGTTCTAAAAAGTGACTCGAACAAGCTGGACGGGAAGTTGCTGACACCGAAAGAGAGAGAGTATTGGACAGACGCAGATGTAGGGCGTTTGAAAAGGCTACCAACGGATCAATTAATTTTTTTTTTTCGTTTAATGGTGTTTCATTATTCTATTGTTTAAGTGTTACCGTACGACTTACATTTTGTGAGCATCTTTAAGAATAATTCTATATCAGAGAAACAAACAAAGAAGCTCAAAAATTATAAATTATAAAAGTATAGACAAGAAATTATTACTTTAGACATTTCGAGGCATTGAAGCGCTCTTCTGATTAACGATTATCAGGACCGCTTGAATTCAAACATTTTAAAGCAAGGATGTGTAACGACATTTTTACAAGATTTTAATGATAAGGCGGTCACAACAATGGAAAAAATGTTAAGGGCCATTGTCACACTATGGCGTTTCGTACTGTGTTCATAGATTATCATGTTTGTAATCATTTATAATGTGCCATAGCACCCATCAAGATTCTTATTTCGTTGTTCAACACAAAATTGTGTTAGTACATCTGCATGTAAAAAGATAGTACGATAGAATTTTTAGACTCACTTTTTTGGGCCACAATTGTTTACTGAAACGTTTTGCATTTTTTGCACCTTACCATTCATTTGAACTCAATATATATTTTATATTAAATAACTGTTTTTCTATTTATTTTATTGGAGGTGAGAAACTGAAATAATTTTGTGACCTCCGCACGCAGATTTGTTTAAAGCAGAAATAACTATTTTGTTCACTTTATTATTAAGGAGTCATTTACCTTGAAATAAATGTAAACATAGTAATCTTATTTTGATATATTTAATTATTTTTGAGCGCTAATTATCGGATTTTGTTTTCAGCATTTGATTTCAAAGATCTGTTGTCCCTGAACTGTGAAGTGAATAGATGGGGAGCAGCAATCAACATCACATTATTAAAAATGGCAAACCTACAAGTCAATTACTCTGACATATACATGATGGATCCTGACTGTTATGGACAAATAGTTGGTGACAAACTTCTGTTTAATCAGCCGTATAATGAATGTGGGTCAACCAAAAATGTAAATACAAGTTCTTGATTATTATATTGTATAAAACTGTTTAACGCTTACTAGTATGTTACAAAAAAAGAGAAGAAAATCGGATTAATATTGATGATAAAAAACGTTTAAAACTGTGAATGTAAAACTGTAAGACTTAAATTATTGCAACAGAATGCTAATGAAACGCGCTGGTGTAGCCTGCGAATAGCACATCATGCATTGTCTATGTACGATGCTTATTGTAAATTAAACAAATGTTAGATAATTTTATTGTTTAATAGAAAGGGTGTTGTGTGGATGCCAAAATAGGCATTGTTTTGGTAAGAACTTGCATGTTAACTTATAATAGCATTATTTGTATACAGCAGTTCAAGAGATCACATTCACTTATCTCGCAATTGTGTTTGTTGGTCATGAAAAAAAACCTGTAGCATTTTCTTGCGACTACAAATTCAGCAGAATTATCAAAATGTATAAAACAAATTTTGCGTACCAATATAAAGCACCTTCTTTTGGAAACGGCCAAGTCTATTTTTTATCAAAACACATACGTGCCAAATTCGAATGTTTCCTTCCGTGATCAAATAGGTTTCATGTGTAAAAGAATCAACGCGTACTTGTTGTTGGTATTTGTAAATGTTTAATGGTAAGAAAAGATTTATAAAGGAATGAGCGTGACTTATTACCGAATATTTTTCATCGACGGATTTAACAGAGTAATCAAGAAGGATAGCATGCGGAGTAGGGACAAGATTTCATTAATTTTTGTTAGCTTTCGTGTAGCGTAATCCTAGATTTTTAAAATGTTGTTTGTCTGTTTGTCGTGCTTACGTCGGGACATTATAAAGCAAAGTTTTATTAGATGAACGATTCAGAGTTTTCCATTGGCTTGTTAATATCTTCTTTCTCTTCGACACGAATAGATGCGCGCAAAATTCTCAAAGTATATATCATGTATATAGTATTTGATTAACATTTAGCAGAGACGCTCGATACAACAAATTCTACTGAAAAAGTAATACATATAACATACCTTGGGCAATATTACCAAACTTCTTTATGTATTTAAGATTTCGTGCGTTATTTGATTACTGTCCCTTTGATAGTAACGCCCTATCTTCTTTAATTCTTCTGAAAAACGCATGCAATGTATGTGCCAAAGTGTAGAAAAATTACATGGCCATGCTTTCTTTTCATCACTCCATTTTTAAATGTTCATCTCCTCTCCCGAGTAATACACATATCTACCATTAGACGGTTGATAATCATTCGAGACATGCATGCAAAACATGCATATTTTCATTTCTGACACTTTTCGCTACCAAATGTAAGTGGTCTGTCAGTTGCCAAGGAAACTCTCCGCTCAAATGCCATATCCAATTTAGAAAGGATTTGGTGATGGATTGTTATTGAAAAATTCAGTTTGTAATTTATGTAACTGTTGATTGATTGGTTGATTGTTGGTTGATTAATGTCCAGTGGCAAATAGTCCATGCGTGTTTAGAACGAGCACAAAATAACAATAAATAAAATAGGTAGGTTCTGTTATAGAGGCCGTCCGGGATGAAGGTCGGGGAAATTTAAACTGCCACTGGAAAATGAGGGTAAATTGAATAGGGACAGATATTTTTACTTGCAACAGGCCACCAACGAACCCTCAAAGAGTTGTTGCAATGCTTTTTAACGTGAAGAGAGCGTGGCACTGTATCTACACTAGGACGTCCCGATTCTGATCGGACGTGGTTGCGTTCTTGTAAATCCCGCACAAACAAACGGACGCCCCACTTTGGCAAGGGTTTTACGACCATATTTCTATTCCCCAGTCACCTTTGGGGGTTATAGATGTTTAGATATGAGATCACACGGCTAACTCTGTTGGATAGTTGTCTCATCCCACATCCCTTCGTAAATTTTATTGACGCCATCACGAGTTGGTTGACCGTTATGGAATAACCGTTTCACAGATGATATCGGATATGTTCCTTATGTCGTAACTACAATACCCTCCCCTTTTCACGAATGTGATCTACCGAATTAGAATATTTACCGGATTTGTAATAAAATAAGCAACACGACGGGTGCCACATGTGGAGCAGGATCTGCTTACCATTCCGGAGCACCTGAGATCACCCCCAGTTTATGGTGGGGTTCTTGCTGCTTAGTCTTTAGTTTTCTATGTTGTGTCATCTGTACTATTATTTGTCTGTTTGTCTTTTAATTTTGGCCATGGCGTTGTCAGTTTGTTTTCGATCTATGAGTTTGAATGTCCCTCTGGTATCTGTCGTCCCTCTGGTATCTTTCGTCCCTCTTTTAGGCAGCATTTTTTTTTTTTTTTTGCAAAAACGAACTTTTGTTTTAATGTGTTACGGCTTATAACGTGTTTGACTGTGGATTTACCAGAGGAAAATCATTTCAAAAGTGCGTGTGTCGTGCATACTGAAATATGCTAGATCGGTACATTTAAATAAATCAAAAAATATTCTTCTTATTACCACTTGTAGCCATTTATTGTAGAAAAGATGATTGTATAGTTATTATATTGTTTTATGGTGCTTAAGAAAAAAATAAATTCAACTCAGAAGACATTCTTTAATCCCCGTTGCTAAACGTTTGGTTTTATACAATGTAGAGATCTGATCAATACATACAACGATTCAGTAAGTCTAACATTTTACACATAAACATTATGTATAAATTGAGGTATCTTATAATATTTGGTATGTGAAGTCTTGAATAACAAAACCAATATCACTTGCCCTGTGGAGATTTATCTTCAATTCATTAATTCTAAATAAATTGCAGTTTTTTTTTTAATATATGGACTATCTTAAGAAAAGGATAATATTGGTCTTCCTTCTTTCAGATATCCCATTTCTACATTACTTTTCAAAACAACATAACATTTATATCAGAGGGTGTTACACATGAAATTCCTTTAGAGTGTCAACTTTTTAAGGATGACAGAATCCTTCATTACCATCAGATCGATGGAAATTTAGAATTAGATGATGACAACGGTAAGAATGTTTACAATATTTTTAAAACTGTTTTCAGTTTTTCTATAATTTTGTAATTAATATATTGAATATGTCATGGATACCAGGAGTACAATTGTGTACACCAGACGCGCATTTCGTTTACAAAAGACTCAACAGTGACGCTCGAATAAAAAAACTAGATTTTTTTGCAATATCGTAACCAATAATCAATCAATCTAACCAATCAGTTTGATTAGCTCTTTTTATTTATTTACTTATTTATTGATCTATTTTATACCTACATGTACCCACCCCCTCCCAACAAAGTACTCTACGATGTCATAGTTACGTTTACTTTTTGTCGAGAAAAAACAATCCCAAATTTCGTCGTCAGGTGGCGGCGTCGATGTTAGAGGCGTAATCATTTGAGTTCCTTCTGTGCTTTAAATATTTCAAGACATTAAAAACTTTGTCAAATATGACTGGAAATTTAAGGAACTTGGACAGTAGCTGTTTATGAATAAAAGGCACATTTTGAAGTTTTGTTCCACTTTTTCGGAATTTACTGATTTTTGTAGTTAACATTTAGATACACTCTGGAGCTAAAGTTTGTCTGACATCAATAACTTTGTCAGACCATATGAAATGTTCCGAAACTTAGACGGTACCTTATTATGATCAATAGGTAGTATTCAGACGATTTGATAATATGTTTTTTACCCATTTTCCATATATTAGAAAAGAAAGGATATAGGGTATCCATCCATGACACTATCAGTATATGGACAGCAAAAAAAAAAGAAAAAAAAACAACAACAGAATAACGCCTTTATATTGTTGTTCTTCATCTCAAAGTTCTAGTGAGGCCTTCAACACGGAGCAAATAACTCTCACCTCACTGCAAGTTTAAGACGGCCACTAGCACCGGTTTGAGCGAATTTTTTTGCAAACTGACGACCACGCCACAACTATAAATTGTTATTAAGAACAAAGCCATGGAGTAATATCACTAAAAAAAATCTGGCAAAGAAATCTAACATATCCCTTCATAATTTATCACGTGGCATTTGAATGTTATATAGGAGACTAATCGTATCGTAGTCAGAACATCTCTTCCAGCTAGGATTACATGACTTCTTGTGAACTGTTACCTTTTGAACTAACACGTTAAAAACTCCAAAATGGTGATTCAGTTTGGCACAAACAAGGTTCTAATACATAACACACCAACATATTATCACCTTGATTTGAATGTCAAATTAAACTCGTCAATACATTTATTAATGCATAATCCGCTTTGGTATGTTGAAATATTAACACAAATATTAAATACTTACAGCAAATGGCTCTGAAAAAAGTTTATTTCATGTCGACCTGTACTATGATTCTGAACTGACACAAACGGACGACAAACAGTTCAGTGGAAAATTTGTGTACAGAATAGGTGTAAATGAGGACCACTACGATCACTATCTTTCTTTAACCCACTGCTTTCTCACTATGAAGAAAGATGGATTGGATGAAACATTGTTAATTGTAAAAAACTCGTAAGTATGAATAAATGTGCGAGTTTGAACTCTTCCACTGAAATACAGCAACGTTATTTTATAAAACTGATTATGCGCTTGTATTTATAATTTTAATCGGCCCTCTGCATCTTTTTGTTATTCCTTCAGCACATTACATATATTTGTATTTTGCTGATTTTGACCAGTTTTAAGTTTGATGAGACTAGATACTGATTTTGTCTTTTAACATATTTTTAATTTAGATAATAAGAGTGTCGAGGTAAAAGTATCAACAAACAAAACAAAATAGAACATCCACATGATAATATTCCTATTAAGAAAATTTTAAAAAAAAACAAGACAAACAAACACCCAATACTAAAAAGAAAAGATCCCTTTTTATTACAGTTGCCTTTAATGAACTACTGCTCGAAAAAAAAATAAACAGTTTCTGTATTTATGTTTATATTATAGGAATTTCTGATATTGGTATTTTTTTATCTTCATTTAATGTAAACATAACAGGATTTGCAAACTGCTTTTTATTTCAAATATTCCAGCTCCACTATTGCCAACATCTACTTTGCTATTTTATCAAACTTCGTGTTTTTTACATTTTAGATCACCTTTAATGGAAAATGTACTCGTCAGATACCTTGCAAATGATGTAATTGTGTTAGAAGTACAAGTTTCAGACAATGTTTCTAATAATCTAGAATGTGAGGCCGCTTGGAAGTTATAATAATTGTATTCAATAAAATTCGTTGAAAAATGATAATTACTGTCTAGTTAAGTAAATCTTAGCAGTACGGAATTTTAATATTTTGTAAGAATAATTCTTCACAATTTATGATAATAAATCGTAGTTGTATGAATTGCATCAACATAGTATTCTTCGCGCGTGTGTAGAGCCCGCTATAACGAAGAACATGTACACATTTATTTTATTTGGACCTGTATTTCCTAAAAATGAAGTGAAGTTTATGAATTGCTTCTTTTTTCTTATTATTCAATTAAACGTAATATACAGATAAATAATGTCTGTTGCACTGTTTTAATAAAACCGAAAAGGAAACTAAAAGAATAAAAAACAATGTAGTGGCGTGCTGTTCAATCGGTTGATCAAATATCTGTTTGCTGATACAATGTATGTTACTGATAAAGAACTTATTTTCCCTTAGTTTTTTTTTAGTTTAATGATTTTGTTTGCTTACCATCCAGTTACAAAATATTTATTCATCTTTTTCACGAAAACACAATTAAAGAAATGCACTGTAAATGAGCTTTGAAATAAGGAGATGATTTGCAATGAGAAACCATCGACTAAAGGACAATTAATCAAACAGATTGTGTCGACATAATTTCTCTTGGATTTAGATTAATAAACACAAACATGAAAACGAGAACACCCTTCATCTATCTCGGCAGTAGTTGTGTTGTATCAAGTAATGTATTTATTCAATCACAAGTTGGCGTATCGTTATGGAATATCTCTTTCACATATGACGACGGACATGTCCAAATTGCTGTAACCACAATTTAACAAATTGCTCGTCCTCTTTTCATCGAATGTGACCTACCCAATTAGACTTATGAACGGGGTTTGTATTTGCATGAGCAACACGACGAGTGCCACATACGGAGCAGGATCTTGTTCTGACGGAGCACCTGAGATCACCCCGGTTTCTAGCGGGGTTCGTGTATTTATTTTTCTATGCTGTGTTCTATGTACTGTTGTTTGTCTTTTCTCGGTGTTCGTTTCTGGGCAATTTGTTTTCAACTTATGAGTTTGAATATCCCTTTGATATTTTTCGCACCTCTTTTTTGATAGTTTAAAGAATTTGCAGTTGATAACAGATCCTTTTGAACATAGAGGCGAAAGATACCAAAGGAATATTCAAACATATGATTCGAAAACAAACTAACAATGCCATATCAAAAACATCAGACAAGTTTCCCCTTGTCCTTAGAGTAACTTTTATTTACAATTTGTTTTACCGTATTTTTAAGTTGTTGTTATCTCTGAAAAAAGTTTTTATAAACACAAGATACGTGCTGTTTTGGTATTTTTACAATAAAAAAAAAAAAAAAAAAACTTTCGGCGAACAATTATTTACCATTCCTTAATCATATTGATTGTTAAAACATAAATGAATTACTCTCAAAATATTGAACATCCTATCAAAATGTCGGCATTTTACAAAAAAAAAACTCTCAAAGCTTCAGATATGTTGTCATCCCAAGTGTATCCTTCTGCCTTCATAATTTGCACACAGTCCTGATTCCCTAGATAGTTATCTGGCCAATCCAGGACACAGTCATTAACTGTAACCACCGTCTGACTAGTATCCCATTTCCAAACACCTGCCGTTTCGAAATCTATTGCACCAATTCAATAAGATGTCAAGGAAAGAATACATGTATAAAAAATGTTCGTACGCTTTACTAGAATGGCCACATGATCTGGTTACTGAAAATTAATGCGTTAATGACAGAGGTTCAAATCCCACTATGTAAACTACAGTACTAGTATTTACTTTTTTATACATATAATTATAGTCATAGGATTTATTACAAAACTTTTAAAACAGAGACTATTACTCATTTGTCAAACGCACTTTACAATATTAATTGACGTATTTGTAATAAATAACGCCTTTTTCCAGTAATTCTAGTGAAAATGATAAAAATTAGTGAAGACCAAATTATTGCTCTGTGATTCAATCGTTAATCATCACAAAACTAAACAACATATTTCATTTAGTGCTCAGGATATTTTTCACATCATCAAATTACTGCAATCACGCTTCATAATAATTAAACAGCCAATCCATGCAGTTGCCAAAAATACCACCATCTGCAAAAAGATAGCTTTTTAGTTGTTCTTCGTTAACTCTTTCAAAAATGTAGTAATGTTCATTCTTGACCTTTCACCTTAATTTAACAAAAAATGCACCGTAAGAATTATTGACGACCGAGCAAAACAGAAAGTACAGATATTAATCTTTCAAATGATATATAGTATAGCCGTATGTTGGGTGGGTGCATTAAAGCTGTTAACTAAGCCTCTTTGTTCAATGTCACTCGCCTATTAATTACGATATTTGAAAGAACAAACCCAAATGTAAAATAAAATAAAGATTGACTCTCTCATTTGTACTTTATTATTTGTTAAAATTTTTTTTATCATATATCATGTATATTTTCATTAACAATTTCACAAATAGTCTCGCCATCAATCGATTTCTTTGCAAGTGAAACATTTCATATTTCACTTCTTGGCAAAAGTCTGCTCTGTGTTGTAAACCAAATCGATATTCCAATGTTCCACATGTAAGGATAAAGAGGTAAAGAAAAAGGTTCGGGTTTAAAAAAAAAACAATATCGATATTGTAAACTGAGGTTTGTTTCTCATCTGTTGCATGTGTTGTTCGTTCTTTGAAAATACTGTTCGAGACTATTGTTGTTTAACGACCTTTATTGCGTGACATAAATGAATGAGAACGACAGGTAATATAACCTTTCCATTATTATGACCTACCATTTTTTCACATTTCAGTTAACAAGAAAAAAAAACCGTACTTGTTGTATGATTTGTTCAAAGGACATTTGAAGTGAAACATAGGCATGATTTCTGAATGACATACTCAATACTGTATTATAATCATAATTTTCACTAATTAAAAAGCAAAAGTCAATCTAATTTTAATAACTTTACATACAACTATACATGTAATTATACTTGTTGAAAACCCGTTTCATATATGATAACTAACTTTGCTTGATGTTAGTATCTAACAAAAAAAAAAGAGCACACTCTACTTAGCCTACACAGAGTTTACACACATGTGAAGAAATAGTTAATGTACTTGAACTGTTACATCATGTATATAATGAGCATAACACAATGAATAAACTAAATTTGTCATACGATGTCATATTGATACCTCTCCTTATTTCCATTTATAATGAGTTGGTTTTTGTTTGACCCTATTCGAATTGAGTATGGACTTTGAAGTTCAGCGGATTTGTCCAAAAGTACTTTCATTCTTTGACCATCAGGTGAAAATCCAAGGAGTAGTTCTTTTTCGACATCAACAACGTAAGCAATGCCATTACTATCACAACATATATCGGCGGGTTTTGTAAGAAGGGTGTCTTGTTTTTCCCATATGGCATTGCCCTTCATATCACAGCAAGTAACTTTCCTACTATTAAAATAATAAATTTGCATGTCCTTAAATTTTGAAATGTGTGCCTTTTTAAAAACAATTCTGCAATCATGAAACGATATTGATTGGTCTAAAATATTGACAATGTTCATGTCATTTTCCATGTATCCAGAAGAGATATAGAAAAGCTTGGTGTCATTGAAGACTATATTTGATTTAACATCATTTGTGATACAGTTGAATACAATTTTCATTATTCTGACCGCCATATTGAAAATGCACATCTTGTTTGTGTTACCAAATAAGTTCACTATATCTTGATCATCAATATGTATTGCATGTTTAGGTTTCCAAAATATGCCGTATTCATTTATTAATTTGCCCGAAGTTGAAAATTGATAAAGTTGTTTACCCTTACGAACAAGGAAAGTGTCGTTAAGTAGAAGTCTAGAACTTGAATAGCTTTACCACGACCCTTTTTCTTAAGGGAGATATTATCAATGTCTATGCCGGCTGATACTCCTGCCGGAATTTGAACCTTGTTATCTTTACTAAACGTTATATTTAATGGCTTTGACAAGGCGTCAATTGATCTGAAATCAAGGATGGTGTTCAAGTTATTTGAAGGAACAAACTGCAGCTCAACTGCAAAAATTTTTGGTTGCTTTCGAAGATTGCAAAATACGAGTTTTATGAATAAATTTGTTTGTCAATTTTGTAAAGCCCTAGAAGAGTTTGATGGTCTGTTGCATACTGCTTCATATCTTTATAATGTGTTAGAAAAGTATGAACACAACGCCTTCTGTTGTTAAGTTTAATAGTTAATTGAACGATATTTTCTTTTAGTTGTTCCTTCTTTTCCTTTTCGTTATCCCTCAACTTTTCCTCAAGATCATCTAAATGGCGAATAATCTCTAGCCTCCTGTCTTTGGTTTGACTAAGTATAGTCGTAGCTTGGCTGTCAACCGTTTGTAGTCGCTGTATCGTTTTATAATTCATTGTTTTGTAAAGATCTCTAAGGTGAGTATAATGAATTTCAATATCAGAGAAAGCGGACGATGATTTTATGTTTTGTTCTATTTCACGGATCGGTTTGGTATCGAGACAATTTTCGTGATTTACTTTCAAGCATTTTAAACAACAAGGAGCAGCAAGTGTTGTTCGAATGTTTTCGCATGTTCCTCACATCTTATATTAATTGCCCGAACGAAAGCTGGAAGGTTCAGGAAATTTTCGATCGGTAATGTGGGATGACCTCTGGTTGCTTCACTAAGACCTTGGTGCTCTTTACATTCGGAACAAATTGATTCATCACATTCAGAACACCAAACAGTAGCTGATTTAAAGATATCACGAAGACTGCACATGTCACAGTGTGGTAATTTACCTGCCATTTTTCTGCAATATTAGTTAAAATACGTAGCTTAGAAGATTAAATTGAATAGTATATTGAATGCTTATTTAAAAAAAGATATGAATTTTTTTTTTCAATTAAACACCAAGGTTGTATACAAAATTATGAACCGAATAAATCGATTATCCGACAGCACCAAATCTAAACATTTTAAGTTCACCTTGTTACCATTAGGTTTGAAAAATATGTGAA